AGCCATCCGGCCACCCATCGTCTTTTCCTAAAGCCCAGGTAGTCCGGCCAACCATCACCTTTTCCGACAGCCCAGGACTTGCCCTGTGGCCCGGGCTAGCACACTGGACAGGAGGAATGATGGCTTTCTGCCGAGCTGCTGGATACAGGGCCCTGCCCAGCACACCGCCATATCCTGTTCAATTTTCCAGTCGTGTGTTCTAGAGCGCTACCGATGGACCTGCCTCGGGGGCAATGTTCCCATTACCAACTGGTGCTGATCACCATTCGCCATATCAGCGGCCCCACTACACCACCACCGTTGATCATTTCACAGTTTCACGTCCTCACACCATTCCTCCTTCCGCCCCATCCACTTGCCGCACCATTCCGCCGTCCTGGCGCCCCATTCCACCGTCCTGGCGCCCCATTCCGCCGTCCTGGCGCCCCATTCCGCCGTCCTGACGCCCCATTCCGCCGTCCTGGCGCCCCATTCCACCGTCCGGATGCCCCATTCCGCCGTCCTGCGGGCCGTCCTCCATCGCTGGCGCCGCGCCGCGCTTGTTGGTGAGCCTGCTGACCTCGTCGGGCGAGAGGCCATGCCGCTTGACCATGTGCCGGCGCAGTGAGAACGTCATGGCGAACTCGTGGTTGCAGATGCAGCAGGTGGTCTGTCCCGTGTGCCGTTTCATGTGTTCGGCCAGGTTTCGCCGGTGGTGGTAGGCGGCGCCACACATGGGGCACACCTCCAGGGAGACCGGGGCGCCTGCGGCAGACGGGCGGGCGGGCCGGCGGCGTCAGCTGCTGTTCTCGACAGAGCAGACAGCGGGCAGGTGCCGGCGTCCGCCCCACGGACAGCGGGCAGGTGCCGCGGCTACCAGTGTCCGCCCCACGGATAGCGGGCAGGTGCCGGCAGCTGATCTCGACAGAGCAAACAGCGGGCAGGTGCCGCGGCTACCAGTGTCCGCCCCACGGATAGCGGGCAGGTGCCGCGGCTACCAGTGTCCGCCCCACGGACAGCGGGCAGCCATCTGGTGTCAGTCCCGGCCCACGGACAGCGCGGCAGGAGCTGGCGGCTACCAGTGTCCGCCCCACGGACAGCGGCCAGGTGCCGGCGCCTGCCAGTGTCCGCCCCACAGACAGCGGGCAGCCGTCTGCGGCTGATCCCGACAGAGCAAACAGCGGGCAGGTGCCGGCGGCTACCAGTGTCCGCCCCACGGACAGCGAGCAGCCGTCTGGTGTCAGTCCCGGCCCACGGACAGCGCGGCAGCAGCCGGCGGCGGCCAGAGAAGAGGCGGCGGCCGCACAGTGGCGCTGAGCAGGGCGACAGGTCCGCCCCCGATCGGCCCGCTCACAGGAGGCAGAAGAGCCCAAAGTGTGCGATAAAGAACGCTGTGCGGTGTCGCCAGGTCCTCCCAAAGAAATGGCGCGGGGCTCAGCAAGCGCACAGTCGCGAAGGCGAAGACATTCTAGCCGAAGGCAACCGCTTCCTTTTGCCAAGTCGGTATGCATGCGATCGTGATAGCAAACAGAAGTAGGTAGCATTCGCCACCAGCATAGCCACACACAGAATCCCAGTTCAAGTTGATCGCAGCAGGGAGAAGCGGTCGCTGCAATGCCGCTCATCGGCGCCGTTTCGGTCAGCATTCCCAGAGGACAAAGAAAATAACGATTCCTCCAACAAAGCGCGAGTAGTTGTTATATCATCGCAACAAAGTTGACGTTCAGTGTCTCACTGCTTGGCGATACCAGCATTTTTATAAGTTTAGCTCGAAGGTTTGAAATTGAATGGGCTGATTGACAGAGCCGGAGGCTACGCTAAGCAGAGTTTGCTGCGAAGGCCCCCCGACCCCTACCGTCTCATCGGGCGGATAATTAACATACGAGCAAAAACTTATGGCATGTATATTGTATATGCATCTCATATCTCGTATGTATCTCATAAGCCATATATCTCGTATATGCCAAAGTTAACGTGTCAATCAAAGCCGGACGCGAAACGTCCCACAACGTCCCACACAACTGACTTCAACTGGACATTTCATTGCCACTGTACATCAAAATATTCGCATTTGTATTTAACTACACATAACGTAACCGCATGTCATCGTGCTGATTAGCCCTGGAGCTCAAATTTCCACAGAGAGGAAAATAACACTCACAGGCGGAAGCTCAACACAGAAATGAAAACACGACAACGTTACGGCTCGTTGTTATATCGGTAGAGACCTGTTGAACTGATCACTCAGTACCCTCTAGGGCCATAAGCACTGGTCTAATTGGTGTGGTTTTCAGTGGTGGGACACGAGTTTCCACAAGTCCTGGGATAATTGGATAAAAAGTGTTTTAAACATAACATTACGAAGGAAATGCTATCGTTTATCATGATATACCGGGTGGCCCAGAAAACACGTTCCCAATTTTAAATCAATATTTCTCAGAAATTGATAAAGATACAACATTGAAACTTCCAATATTGGAAGTTTCAATGTATTTAGTCAATGCGGCATATATTTTCAGCAAATGTATGATTTTTATGCTATTCGGCCAATTACTTTTTAAACGGTTCGTGTTTCTAGCATGCCATGTAAAAATCACTTTTTTTGCTCAGATGTTTACTAAAAATGTGAGTGAACGGGCCACTTCCATCTCGGCACCACGTTCTGCAGCCATGACTGCTACTGGCAACTAGCCTCATTGATGGTTCAGGCCTCAGGGTGGCACATTCCCTCTAGCTTTTTTCCTTATTCGGTCGATTTACTGTTTGATCTTCTTGAAGTGAGGGCGATCAGCAGTAGCCCATGCACCGTGCCGCTCCTTCTCTTCGAAAAAGGACTTGTGTTGAAACGAATGACATCCATTAACGCAATTTTGGCTTAGCATTTGAATATTTGGCACATAAGTGGGACAAAAATATTCAAAATAACAGCACACGTGCTGGTATCATTCACGTGTTCTATTTTTCTATTTTTTTCTAACATGGTACGTCTAAGCCAATCATTAGGACTACCTACCGTTCAACAACGGCAAAAAAAGCAAAAACGTCTTACTTAATTCAACATAAGATTGTTGGCTTGAAAATGATGGTACAGTGTTATAATTTGGCATACCAATGCGCAAAGAAGTGACGCAAACTTGATGAAAATTTTGGCTCGTTATCTGCACTCGAATTTGAGATATAGGCCTCCAAAGTTCGGAACGTTTTTTTTTTGGGCCACCCGGTATGACATATGAAAAGCAAGTATTTGCCCTATAAATGTCACTACATGACATATTTTGCTGTCTCAAAGTCAATGAAATGACTAAATTCGATTTTTTTTACCCTAAATCACACCTATATCTTTGCTAAAGAAATGGAGACAGCATCGGAAAAGGCCAGGGTACCAGTACGCCCCTTAACATTTAAATTCCTCCTCCCTTTCACTATGCCATAAACCTAAATCAGTGGTGTTTTTAGGGCCTCGAATGGTTGATTAATAGATGTTTATTAGCACGCAAGGCAGCTGCTTCAAGCCGCCGTCGGCCATGGATATTTGTCTAAATCAAGGCACAGATACTGCTTTCGAAAAAACCTGATGTAAGAAATCGACATAAAAGGTGCACTTAGATGCATGCAGCGCAATCTCGCTAGCGACTAGTCCAATATCCACAGACGAGAGAAGTAAAAGGTAAGGACAACAAAGGTAAACAGTGTAGAGAAGGAGTAGTCATGTGCGAAAGTGGATCAGAATCAAGAGGCGGTACGCCCCCGACTGTGCAGATTCATATAGCTCACAGGTGCATTTATAGCCATTGCCCAAACAGCAGCAGGTACATGATAAAGTATTTACCAGTAAAACGCCTTTTGGGCGAAGAACGAGCGAGCGAGATAGTGAGCCCTGCACGTGCGGAAGGGCGAGAGGGTACTTCCAACGGGCTTGCGCAAAGCACCCTTCTAACCGGTCGCTAGCGGTGTACCAAATTTGAACGCAATCGGCCCAGCCGTTCCTGAGATCTGGAAGCGGCATTCTGCACGTGCGCACGTGCAAACGGGGTCCAAACTGACTTTAACACGGCACCCTACTAACCGGTCTCCAACCGTGTACCAAATTTGAGCGCAATCGGCCCAGCCGTTCTCGAGATCTGGAAGCGCCCCCTGCACGTGCGCACGTGCAGTAGCACCTTAACCGCAACACATGAGAATGCATTGCCTGGTGGGTGCCTACCTGTATGCCAAGTTTCAGCGAAATCGCCCCAGTAATTACCGAGTTATTAAAATGGGAACAAATTTGACACCTCTTATTGTTGCATTTTGCACGTGCACTGGGGGTGACCCACATGCATGGAGAGTATCCTATTTTTGGTAGAAAGGATGTAGCTACCCTATAAAAATTACCGCAAGTCAATCGCCTAAGCGGCTGCTGAGATATGAGCCTCTCAAAATCACTACTTTTGTAAAACAGCTGGAACACCCTTGACTTTTCACGTGGCACGTGCCACGACGGTCACTGAGATGTATCAAAAGTAGTCAATTACGGGGTAGAAGGGGTGGGGCTACCCAGCAAAAAAGACCGCAGGCCAATCGGTCCAGCGGTTGCTGAGATATAAGCCTCTCAAAAGCGTTACAGGCCGGGCCGGGCCGGGCCGGGCCGGGCCGCTCATACTGAGATTTTTCCGTTATATTGAAAAAGACTCGCTTCGCTCGCTGCGCTCGCTCGCTCGTAATCACCCGCCGGGGCAGCGAAATGACGTACACACCAATTACCAAATCAGGACCGGTACCGACCCTACAGTCGGCGACAGCACAAACCATCCATCTCTTACCGAGGAGCAGACCCACCGAACGAGCTACCGACTAACTACTACTCAGTGCCCTGAGAGCCAGGTTTTGTGCCGACAGCGGTCTGAAGTTCAACCCAAGGTAGTCCGTTTTTACCGGGCAAAGGAGATTAAAATGAATTATGATGCCGCGCCCTCTTTATCACGACCTGCTAACTGAGCAGTCACACACATCACGCCAGTCAGTGGGAGTCAGCAGCTTACCTTGTGAGGAGCCGTCCTCAGATAGCCTCTGCGAGGTTCCCGGCGGAGCGATCACTGCAAATAGGGCGCGAGCATCAATAAAACGGCTCCACTTTGTGGACGATTTTCTACGGAAAACCCCGTAGCCGTTAGCCGGGATAGCGATTGTACAGTAAATAAAACAGCTAGTGAGACAGTCATCAAAGGTTTAGAACACCAGAGCTGTACAGAAGCAGCACAGTAACAACCAATCACCAGTAGAATCTACATCATAACATCACTTAATGATCATACTACTCATAACATCACTCATCTGATAACATCACTCACTTGTGCCGGCCATCTGTCCGAAGGCGAGGGCGTCGAGCGGCGGCCGGGCCGGGTAGTCGCCTCCCTCGAACTCTGCCACGTAGCCGAGCGTGTCGTCCAGCGTCGCGCCGTCCTCCTCGATGGGGTCCGTCTTCTCCACCTTCACCGGAGCGGCAGCGGCGGCGGGAGGCGGAGGCGGCGGCGGCCGCGGAGCCGGCGACGGCGGCGCAGAGTGCTCCGACGGCGAGGTCAGGCTGGGCGACTGCGACGGGCGCCGGCCGGGCGACGGCGCCGGGGCCGACGGCGGCCGCGGCGGATCGTGGTCCGACAAGCGCCGCCGCTTGGCCGCCGGCGAGGGCAGGGCCGCCGGCGCCGCCGGGGCGGACGGCTGCGCGGGAGAGACACACCCGGGTCACGGCGGGGCGACTGCAGCACAGCCTGGGTTCTAATACCATTCATCATTAACATTTTATGTGCAAGACTTCCATCCAAGCTCCCCAAACCTAATTTACCATTAGTTTCTCACTCGGGCACCTCAGACCTTTCCTTTCCTGGATTTGTTCCATCTGCCACCAGCGCTCTGCCATTGGCCCCTCCAGTTAGCCACGTACCTTGTCCTCCTCGCCGCTAAGCCCTCTGATCTGAAGCAGCTCTGCCGTCTTTATGAAGCTGGCCAGCTGACTTTGCGCCACATTCACACTGCCCTTGTATATAAACTCTATGATGGCGCGCAGGTCATCTGCTGACGTGTCCTTTAGGAAAAACACCAGCTGCTGGCACGGGTTTTCCTGCGGAGGACAGGGAGGGGCAGGGGCAGGGCCACTATCATGACAGTTGTCAAGCAACATCATTTTCACCAGCACACTCAGCTCACAGCTGGAGCTAGCATGGAAAGCAGAGTGTGGGAATTACTGTGGGGATTACAGAGCCCTTACTTATGGGCCTCCTAACAGCAACAGGTATGGTTGCGGTTGGCAGCAGGCCGTAGCTAGGCGAAGTCAGAAAGTGGACCGGCCTTTTGCTCCAATGTGTGCACATTAATCTTATGACTCCAAATCCTGCCATATGTAGAACCGGAATTACGCAATCGGAGGGTAGAGGGCAGGATCAACACAACAAGCTTGCTTAGTGGGGCTCTGTCCTTGTAAATCCTTCCATTCAAAATGCTCAGACTAGATTAATAAAAAATACTAACAGCTCAGGCAGCAGCAACTGAGCCAGAAGGGTCTAATCAGAAGGGATTGTTAGGAGTCAATTATCACACAGATTATTCCTACATTGACATCTATGGAAATGTCATACTAGGTGGCTGAATAGGTAGTGAATTGTACAGAATTCAGTACCAAAACAAACTAGGTATCTATCAAAATACAATGCATCTAGATTAACAAAACTGGTGCAAATCCAGAGTTCTAACTATGTCTAGTTCAGTTCATTTGCAGAGAGCACTACTAAAGCCAGAGCTCGCCTGAGCCCCTACCTACTTCAAAGTCCCCCTCACACAGATGTCAAAGCAGCCTGCCACTGGCACTGTGTGCCACTGTGCACAGCTGTCCGCCAGGCGCCAGCGCACCTGGATTAGCTGTCGGAAGTAGGGGCTGCATGCAGATAGCATCATCCGATGGGCGCGCACCCGTTGGCCCTCACAGCACAGCGTAACATCCACCAGCTCGCCGTCATGACGCAACTGGTCGAATAGCGATGTCACTGTGCCCTGGAAGCTGTCCCACTTCAGACAGAACTTCTGGGAGTTCATGGCCACCTAGAACAGAGGCACTGCTCAGAAAACACACAGCACACATAAATCACACTCAATCATCAGAAGAGATTCAGATTCAGTATGGGAACATATATATCACCCCAGACCTCACCCAGAAAGAAAGGGAGACTGGCAAAAAGTTGAGAGCAGAAATGGCAGCTCGCAGAAAGGCTGGTGAAGCCAACTTGACAATCAGAGGGGGGAAAATTGTACAGGTACCACCCACTGTCGTGGTGGAGGGAGGCAGTAGGGCTCCTGCCGTCCTCTCTAGTGGCAGTGGGGCACAAGCACAGGCAACATCTAATGGAGAGGCTCAAAGTAGAGAATCTACACGCGCCCCAGCTGTCCCCGGTGGTGACGGCGGGGCACAGGCTGTGCAACGACCACTCACCACCCCAACACAGGCCAGTTCTGCCCCTGCTGCGCAGAAGTGACTAGGTCAGCCTCCAGCTAGCCACAAGCCCAGGAGTCTGTGTGTGTTATACACAAATGCTGACCAGTTCGTGAGTAAGCGGGATGACATGTGCATGCTCATCTGTAATGACGAGCCTGATCTGATTATGGTAACAGAGACAATTCCCAAGGCCCAAAAAGTTCCCATAGCCCCCGCTCTCCTCAACATACCTGGGTACACCTACACACTCTACACCAATTTCTCGCTATCATCTCCTAATCTTGGATGCAGCGGCATAAGAGGAGTATGCATCTACGCAGCTGATTATCTCAGGGTGTCAGAAGTCTCTCTCAGCTCATCGTCAGTGGAACATGTGTGGCTTAGACTGTCACTGATTGGGAGTGACTGTCTGCTGCTGGGATGTGTTTACCGCAGTCCGTCAAGATCTGATGAAGAGCATGCCACTCACCTGGGTCAGCTCATTCGACAGGCAAGTTCGATGTCCTACTCGCATCTGGTGATTGTAGGAGATTTCAACTTTCCCCAGATCAATTGGGAAACTGAAGCATCCAACGCACCTGACACCCATCTTTCTCAAACTTTTCTCGACACGATACATGACTGCTTCCTTTTCCAGCACGTCCGCTCTCCTACTAGATTTCGATTGGGTGAAACTCCAAATGTACTGGACCTGGTGTTTACCAACGAAGAAGGCATGATTCGTAATCTCGAGCACCTTCCTGGACTCGCCAGAAGCGATCATGTTGTCCTGAAATTTACTGTTGTTTGCTATGCGGATGTGTGTACCTCACACCGCCCACCGATTCTACACATCAACTACGAGCGCCTTGCAGGTGTCCTGAGGTCACGAAACTGGGATGATATCAGAAACTTGGACCTGGAAGAAGCATACGAATCGTTCAAGTCGCAAATAACCGGAGACGTTGAAGACTGTTCGGTCAAGAGAAGCGCCCACTCCAGGAAGAACCTCTACATGAATCGGGCGGCGATGCAGCTGAGAAAGAGGAAGCAGGTGCTGTGGGGCGTCTACCGTCAAACTCTCGACAACGTGGATCATGCCCGGTTTGTGAGGTGCAGAAATCAGCTTAGGGGCCTGACGAGAAAACTTCGAAGGGACCACGAGTCAAAGCTGGCATCGAACCTCAGACAGAACCCCAAAGCATTTTGGAGGTACGCCAACTCTAGGCTGCGTACTAGGTGCCGTGTTGAAGACCTGATGGATGACAACGGTGAGCTTGTGTCCAGCAACCGAGCAAAAGCTGAAGTACTAAGCAGGTTCTTCTCCAGCGTCTACACCTCAGAGGGAGCTGAGCCTCCCCCAGCTCTGCCATGCAACTTCCAGGGACCCCCACTGGTTGACGTGGATGTATCGCCACAGAAAGTTGAGGCTAAGCTGGCGGTCTTGAAGTCAACTAGCTCGCCAGGGCCGGATGCTATTCATCCCCGAGTGCTCCGCGAGTCTGCAGGCCCCCTGTCCGTACCCTTGAGTTTGCTATTTGCAAAATCACTGGAAGCAGGAAGTCTCCCCTCTGATTGGAAGATTGGCGAAGTAGTCCCCATATACAAGAAAGGCGACCGCAGAAACCCCGCGAGCTACCGACCAGTGAGCCTTACGTCCATTCCGTCAAAGGTGCTCGAGTCCATCATTCGCGACCATCTTCTTCAACACTTCACGGACAGTGGCCTGCTGCATGCGGCTCAGCACGGATTTCTCCCGAGGAGATCATGTTCCAGTCAGCTACTGGAGGTGATGGAAGATTGGAGTGCTGCATTGGAAGATGGTGACCCAGTTGATGTCGTATACCTCGACTTCGCCAAAGCCTTCGACTCGGTGCCGCATCAGCGACTCCTCAGTAAGCTGCGCGCCTATGGAGTCGGGGGGAAGCTGCTGAGTTGGATTGAGGCTTTCCTTGTTGGTCGTACTCAGAGGGTTGTGCTGCAGGGATCGAGGTCTGGCTGGGTCCCCGTCACCAGCGGTATCCCCCAGGGATCTGTCCTTGGTCCCGCCCTCTTCACGATTTTCGTCAATGACATGCCCCAGCAAGTGTCGAGCTGTGTCAAGCTGTTTGCAGACGACACAAAACTCTACCGTCGTGTGACAGGTGACCCTGACGGCCTTCAAGCTGACATCAACGCTCTGGTCAACTGGTCGAAGAAGTGGCTGTTGCCCTTCAATGTGTCGAAGTGCAAAGTGATGCATGTCGGAGGTCTGAATCCTGAGCACACATACTTACTGGATAACGCCGCGATTGAGAGCGTGAGCGAAGAGAGGGATCTGGGCATCATTATCGACGAGAACCTGAAGTTCCACCAACAAACTGCTGCTGCCATTGCAAAAGCGACCCAGATGTTGGCTGTTGTGAGGCGCTCATTTGCTACCCTCGACGTGATCACGCTGCCTCTGCTGTACAAGTCTGTGGTGAGACCGTTCCTCGAGTATGGCAACATTGTATGGGGGCCATTTGGCAGAGTCAACCAGAAACGGTTGGAGCGGGTACAACGTCGAGCGACTCGCATGGTTGACACCATCAGACATCTCCCATACACCGAGCGTCTGCGCCGACTTGACATACCGTCGCTGTACTATCGTCGTCGCCGAGGGGACATGGTGACAGTGTTTCAGCTGTTCCATGGTGGCATGTCAGTGGCTCCTGAAGCGCTTCCGACCAGACACAGCTCCGACCGCACAAGGGGACATCAGTGGAAGCTGCAGAAACCGAACGCAAGAACGCTCACGAGGAGGAACACCTTCAGCACAAGAGTCGTGAATGACTGGAACTCTCTGCCAGCTTCTGTAGTGTCTGCCACCAGCGTCAATCAGTTCAAGGCCAGGCTGGACGAACACTGGAAAAGCCTGAAGTATGACATTCCATACCCATAAGAGCCCAGACTGTCCTAGTCCTAGAGCTCGATGAGAACGGGATCTCCAGGCCAAGTGGCCTTTTCCCTCCCGATCACTGTGAAGGTAAGGTAAGGTAAGGTAAGATTCAGCCCTATTACGAGCGAGGGGGTGGGAGGCAAAAGACATTTGCAAGGCCCTATATATCGACATTTGGGACGTCAATTTGGTGGCACTTCTCACCTCACACTCGCTCACACACTTCACAACTCAAATCTCAAGTTGCATTTTGATTTGTCGGAAAAAATCGTCGCGCATTGAAGTTTTTTTCGTTGTGCGTTATAAAATGTCTTACCAGCGCAATATTAGCATCTGCCCCGCAAATGGCTAACAAAGGTCTATAAACAAGAACGGTAATATTAGTTCCAAAATATATAAAAAATGTTCTTTGAGTTTTCAAGTAAGAAGCTATTTTTTGATTATTTTCATAGTTAACAACAGCAAATCGTGCTTAAATTAATATGTTGGTTAGACTGTTTTGATTTGGTGGTCACGTTCTTAAAGGGACCCTCCCACCTTAACATTAGTTTTGAGTTGAGATAGCCAAGTTTGCGGCCAGGCTCAGAAACCACCATTTATCCTGGTCGCAACCCCCGCAGCTTTATGGTATTCAAGAAATTTCTTCCCTTTACTTGCAGGGTGGGACCAGCTTGGTCCCTATCTCTTAACCATTACGGGAATCTGATGACGTCATCAGGCTTTCGAACGTCCGTCATTAAGTTTGACTAAAACGTTTTGTAGCACGCGGTGGTATATGCTATTTGCGCGCAACATCTGCCGCAAACGCCGCACTTCTAAAATAAAGTCGCTAGAAACAGCGGAGATCCCAAAAAGTAAACAAAAGTAAAAGTCTAATATCTTGAAAACCGGTGAATATTTTTCGGTGAAATTTGGTAGATATTCGTTTTCGCTCTTTCTGAACCGAGCGACATCACTTTCATGCCAATTCATAAACTTTTTTGAAGGTGGGAGGGTCCCTTTAACCAGGGCATATATCAAGGACATTTCAGACCAATCAGCGGGCGGCAATTTTCAAAACACCTGCATGCCGAGGACTGAGGAGTGGTTAGTTTCCGTTTAAAATAGTGCTAAAATCTCATAGATTGCATGATCTGTTTGTGTCTTTCTTCAAAACGGGTCAATATTTGGCGGGAAAGACCGTGGTATTTTGATTGCAAATAGTATCTCACCAATGTGTCAGGAAATGGGGTAGTAGACTGCGCCGTATTTGTCGTGCTCATGTGTCTGAATTTGAATCTATAAAAAATATTTTGTTATTAATTTTGTTTCTGGATAATGTAGCAGATGGTTAATCTTAAAAATTCACGTAATCTTGTTAACATTTATTGTTTTTTAATAGCCCTTCTTAGCCACCTTCCCCCTCACCCTGAGGGCTGTTCTCGGGAACCGCAAACTGCTGAGTGTGGTGTGTGCAGCAGGCATGGAGGGTAGGGGATGGGTAGGTGGTTATGACATGGCTGCGCGCGGTGGACGTACCCACGGGGGATGGAAGGCTGATGAAGGGATGCAATGGGCGGAGCTTAGAGCCTTTGTACGGTTCACTTCTACCGCACACAGGGTCCATGAACAGCTCTCAGGACAGTTAGCATTGTGGCTGTCCCTAATGGACACTTACTGCTACTTGCTAGCTGCATCAGGTTGGACCATTTTGCCAGTATTCCTGCCTGTTTGGCTTATTTAGCATTTAAAACCATGGTAAGAGTGGATTTAACTCTTAAGCACACCAGACTCATAAGTCATAATTTGATAAAAACTGAAGCTATTTGCCTCTCATACGGTCATACCTATCCAACAATTTTAAACAGCTCAGCAATGAGTCATCTGAGTGGACCCACTTTGAATTACATATGGTGTAGTGTAGGTCCATGCTGCCAGCTGCAAAGCTCAACTTGCCTGTTCAACTCACCTGTTTGTTTGTTTGTTGTGTTTGTTTGTAGTATGGGAATCTTGATTAAGTCTAGTTTGTGTGGTGTGGATGGGTTCTGCTGGGGCATGAGCTGGTGTAATGCAGATGGTGTCAATTTTGTGCTGAGCAGTACAAGTTGAAGTCCTAACATTGAGCTGTGCTGAGCTTCTGTGCTGGCACATAGCATGCTGTTGTCAAAGAAAATGATGTATGGGACTTGGGACTTGGGAGCCAAATGGGGTCAGCCCGAGTGTTTTGTTACACTTTTGTATCAAAAGTGTAAATGTCTAATAAAAACTAAGAAATATCATAAGTTTTGATCAGCTTTGATAGGTGAAAATTTGCAGTCAGTTGTGGTGGGCTGGTTCAGATTTTTTTCCCTTGCTGGGGTGGCTGTCAATTGCTGTCATGCTTTGCAGTCTGGATGTGGGCACCAATGCTTAGAAGCTGGAATCAACTCAGAACTTATTAAATCTGAATTTTGTAATGAGCTTGAAGTGTAACATAGCTTCCTGTCAATAATAGGATTACTTTTTACCCATCCAAGGAAGATGAAGCACAAGCTATTCTTTGGATTTCCTTGAATGTGAAAGTTACAAGTTGACTAATACTCCGTTACCTATACCCTGTTTTGTAGACAAGACTTGAACTACAAAATGCAAGCAACCATTCAGGTTTGGGGTGTCCACTGATATCAGAGATGAATTGTAATTTGTACATCAAAGAAGTATGATGTAGTTTCTACATTTTGACATTGATTTTGTCTCTATTAACAGGACAGCAACACTCAGACATATATTTTAAAGTTGTTCATTACTAAGACAAATGCATGACTGGTGACAATGGAAACTGACAAGCCACCAGCAGGAGCACAAAGTGAGTAACATTTACTTATTGTCAGTGTGTCATATTTAATTTTAGTATGCAAAAATTGAGTTTTTAAAGCCTTTTTCAGTTTATACTCAACTTCAATTTGATAGATGTAACAATGAGCTTTTTTCCCTATTTTATCTGGACAATAATTTTGCTCCTTTTCTCCTAATGGCCTTATCTAACAGGGTTTTAAACTTGTGGCTTGCATGAAAATGAAATGTCACTCTGCTTCCTGTAATATTGCCGAGCTGTTTTGGTTAAAGGGACCCTCCCACCTTAACATTAGTTTTGAGTTGAGATAGCCAAGTTTGCGGCCAGGCTCAGAAACCACCATTTATCCTGGTCGCAACCCCCGCAGCTTTATGGTATTCAAGAAATTTCTTCCCTTTACTTGCAGGGTGGGACCAGCTTGGTCCCTATCTCTTAACCATTACGGGAATCTGATGACGTCATCAGGCTTTCGAACGTCCGTCATTAAGTTTGACTAAAACGTTTTGTAGCACGCGGTGGTATATGCTATTTGCGCGCAACATCTGCCGCAAACGCCGCACTTCTAAAATAAAGTCGCTAGAAACAGCGGAGATCCCAAAAAGTAAACAAAAGTAAAAGTCTAATATCTTGAAAACCGGTGAATATTTTTCGGTGAAATTTGGTAGATATTCGTTTTCGCTCTTTCTGAACCGAGCGACATCACTTTCATGCCAATTCATAAACTTTTTTGAAGGTGGGAGGGTCCCTTTAAAATGTCTAGCTGGACCTGTAGCTCGGTCTGTAGAGCGTTGGACTCCGCGTAGTGAGAGCACGCATCCTGGTTATAACAGTCCGGGTTCGAAGCGCGACGGGCGCTCGCTGTTAATGAGCCTCCTGACAGGTATGGTTGCGGTCGGCGGCAGGCCGTAGCCAGTCGAAGTCAGTGAGGGCCCGGCCGTACGCTGTTCGCTGCTATGTACATGCGTTAAATGTCGGACTCTAAATTGTCTCGGACCAGGAATTGCGAGATCGGAGGGTTGAAGGTAGGACTGATGCAACAAGGTCTATTCAATGGGGGCTTTATGCTTGTGAATTCTTCCATGGAAAAGGTTCGGACTAAATTACTGGAAATAAGAAAATACAAGTTTGCAGCCATGTTTTGACATTCTCCATGCACTCCGGCAGAAAATGAGCTGGCTAGCCTGCGGCTGTGCATTACTGAGCCGGCCTTCTCAGAGGATCCCAGGGTCATTCACGCAGCAGAGGTGAGTTCGCAACCAGCCTGCTGTGGCTGCAGTGTGAATGTTGATCTATACAGGCAATTCTTATGGTATTAAGTGTGTTTGCTTTTCGTATGTACATATAGTTAGACATACTGGAACAAATGACGTTATTGTTTATTGTTTTCTTAGACGTTAATTGTTTCCGGGGTACTTTCATAGCTGATGTCTTTGTTGTTGACAATTTTCTTTTGTGTGTCCAGGTTCTGAAGCTGCCTATAACGACGAAATCAATAGAGGAGTGTCTGGCAGATACAGAATACGAGACAATCTTTCTAGTCAAGGAGTTCGATGGCGACCTTTACACCCATCTCGTGGAATCCGAGGGAGTGTGAGTACATAGACAGTAGACACCGTGCCTTCAAATACGAAGGGGTACCCAAAAGAAACGGGAATTGTTTCATATCTGTTTATTCACTGATCCCTACACATCGTCACTCATGTCATTCTTAAAGTACTCTCCCTGCGAGACAATGCACCTATGCAGACGCGTTTTCCAGCTCTCAAAGCAGCTCTGGAAGTCTTGCAAGGTGATGCCTTGCAGAGCCATCGTCGTTTTTCCTTTTACCTTATCAAAGTCGTCGAAATGGTTTCCCTTGAGGTCTTTTTCATTCTGGGGACCAGGAAAAGGTCACAGGGTGCCAAATCCGGTGAATAGGGAGGGTGGATCCGTGGGGTCATGCATTTTTTGTCCAAAATTGTCTGACACTCAAGGCGGTGTGCGCTGGCACACTGCCGCGATGAAATCACCACTCCCCGCTTCGCCACCTGTCTGGGAGTTTTCGTCTCACCGTGTTTCACACACGCCGCAGAACGTCCAAGTAAAACGTCTGATTGGCAGTTTGACCAGGGAGGAACAATTTCCTTTTGCACACTTCCCTTTGGATCGAAAAAACAAATCAGCATTGTCTTGACATTTGACTTCACTTGGCAAGCTTTTTTGGGACGCTTTTGGGACAACATTGGACCACTTTGTAAGTGCGAAAATCATTCATAAACCCTCGTCTTGCTCACGGCAGCATATTTGTATGCTACTTGAAGCATTGGAACCGTTTCAGTCGCAGACTTCCCCAGCAGGAAACAAAATTGCACAGATGCACGTTGTTGCTCAGTTCCGCTATGCATAAAAAACGACAGATCGGGCGGGAGTGCTTCAATAAATACGTGCGCCACGCGGCCGCGCCTCTTTATTTCGTCACCTCACGGTGCAGACTAAGTCCCAGGGGCCAGACTGGTTTGCCCCTAGCAGGGCAATGCCGAGCTACAACTGGCTTGGCCTACAGAGAACGATTCCCGTTACTTTTGGGTACCCCCTCGTACGCCGATCTTTCCCATGTAGTTCAGATCGCCGCGTGACTGCTGATGGTGGTTGGTGGATGCTCTTCGTGCTTCAGTGCGTTGTTGACCGAGCATCACTGACACCGTTTGTCATTCCGATGATAAACACGTGAGCTTGAATGTCTATAATTGCTGGACGTAAGGACGGACCGTGGCGGCCTGCCCCCAGGCAGCCGCAGTTTAGCGTCACTGAGGACTGAGGAGGTGTTTTAGTTGTTGCTGATATAGTAACTTAGCTGTCCCCGTCTGTCCCATGCACGGCTCCGTCAGCTGTCCCCGTCTGTCCCACGCACGGCTCCGTCAGCTGTCCCCGTCTGTCCCATGCACGGCTCCGTCAGCTGTCCCCGTCTGTCCCATGCACGGCTCCGTCAGCTGTCCCCGTCTGTCCCACGCACGGCTCCGTCAGCTGTCCCCGTCTGTCCCCCGCTTGTGTCTCTGTCTGACCCGCGCACGGTCCCGCTGACCCGCGCCGCCCGTACCGTGCAGTGTGGTGGGACGGCCGGCTCTGCTCGACATCGTGGCGCGCCACATCCCCATGCCGAACCTGGCGCGGCCCCTCTACTCTGCGGCCATGAAGGACGTCACCATGTGCTTCACCGGCTTCAGGATGCGGCAGCAGCTGGTCAGTGACATGGTCCTCTGCTTGGCGATCTTGACCTTTGAGGCTTGTCGTCTCTACATAATGTACTGTATGACGTAATTATTACGTCAACTTGTGTTGCCTCCTCCCCCCCCCCCCCCCCCCGGAAAAGTACAGAGGTGTCCGTTTCGCCGCAGTGCATGGTCAGACTGCTTGAGATTCACTGTCACTTTGTGCGTATGTGTGCTGCGGCCACCAACAATACGGGAGATTTGAGCCTACTCGGGTCTCGGACCTGACCCAAGTCGAAGCTCGGCTCATGGCAGGGACCTTCTGCGGTCAGAGGTCACTGTGGACCCCTCGAGACAGCCGCGGCTGGGGTTTGACACGGGACGGAGACGGGAAGGACCTGATTAGATAACAGTCACATATCATTGTATGGCATGCTTGACATCGATACAGTGGTTATATAATTTTCATTATGCAGGCATGAGTGTGTGCCATAGTAGATGATTAAATCATAATTCTAGCAAATCATTTAATCCCGGTGAGTGTGTAAACAAGCCCGCAGCGTAACTGTTACCGCGCTCTCTGAGTGTACTGCGCGCTATGTCACGCGGCACCTGGCGGTGTCAGCGGCTGACTCAGGAAATCTGACGGCTGACCCAGTGTGTGTGCGTTCCCCGGTCGGCAGAAACGTCTGGTGGACCTGGTACACCACCTGGGTGGCTCGGTGCGCCGCGAGGTCGGACCCAACATCACACACGTCGTGGCCAACGCCTGCTCCGGAGACAAGTACAGGTACGGATCGGTAGGGGGCGAGGACAGGTACGGGCCCCGGTGGCTGGCACAGGTACGGATCGGTAGGGGCGAGTACAGGTACGGATCGGTAGGGGCGAGTACAGGTACGGATCGGTAGGGGCGAGTACAGGTACGGGCGGGTTGGAGTGAGTACAGGTACGGGCGGGTAGGGGGCGAGTACTGGTACGGGCGGGTAGGAGTGAGTACCTACAGGCACAGCCGGTAGGAGCCCCGGTGATGAATGCGGGTGGTGGGTAGGCCGGTGTTTGCGCTATTATTTTAGGGTGTTTTTACTCAGCGGTCGTTATCCTTGCCGTGATGTCCCACGCTGGGTGCCTGTCTAACTGATGCGCTTGTCATCCAGGGCGCAAAATGCATGCACCGATGATTCTGCACGGCCTGTAAGTGTAAACCCTAGTACAATTATTTTCCTGCACCCATCCAGCCGTCGTGGGGACATCGTAGCATTGCAGTTGGTTTATGCATGGTTGCGTTTCGGTAGTTTGCCAGCGCGGTGTTTCCGTGGCGCATATTTATCTGCGGAATAGAAGCCACGGTTGGTTTGATGTAGCCCGACGTGTTCTCCAGCATTTGTCGCGTACGGAGGTTGTGACGGGTGCGCTGTGGTGAAGTAACCCACCGATGACTGTCGGCTCTGACGGGATAGTTTGGTGGATTTACCTGCTGTGTGTGGCGTCTCCCTGAGGTACAGTGTTACAATGACCCGCCGTGACGCCTCCCTGACGCACAGTGTTACAATGACCCGCCGTGACGCCTCCCTGACGCACAGTGTTACAATGACCCGCCGTGACGCCTCCCTGACGCACAGTGTTACAATTATCCGCCGTGACGCCTCCCTGACCCACAGTGTTACAATGACCCGCCGTGACGCCTCCCTGAGGCACAGTGTTACAATGACCCGCCGTGACGCCTCCCTCAGGTACGCGGTTACATTTGGCCTGCCCGTGCTGCGAGACACCTGGATCGAGACTGTGTGGCAGCGGCGAGAGGAGCTGGGACTGATCGCCACGCACAGAGATATCGTGAGTACCTCCCCACGGAGTTATCGCGAGCTTTCCCTAGCTCTCTGTCTGTGTCTGCCAGGATATTGCACGCAGCCCATAATAAGCGATCACTTCACCGCATCAGCTTTACCGTTGTGTTTCGATGCTGCTCAATGGTCATTTTTATTCGTACTTTTCAGTCTTTTTTTTTTTTTTGCATGGGTGTTCGAGCGATTATTTCCTGCAGATATTTGTGACATTGAATCGTTTTCTTGTGTGTGTGCTGCTTGCTATTTTTCATTGGGCTGTGATTTCCAACAGTAACTAGATGTTAACAGCTGGCTCCCCTGGTTTCGACCCCTCCCCTTCTGAGTCCCACTGCCACTGACGCGCTCTGACCGTCCCCTCAGATGGCACCGCACAGGGTGCGGCCGTTTTTCGGCGCGCGAGTCCGCCTGCTGGGCTTCTCGTCCGAGGAGAGGGAGCACATGGCAGAGGTGCTGGTGGACAACGGCGGTCAGCTGGCCAGCGAGGAGCCTGGCGCCGAGCCCTGCACACACCTGGTCAGTTTAATTCTAGATGGGAGAGTCATAGGGCCGAGAGTGTGCCTGGCCAGTATCATGCCGATACCTGGTAGTGGGGGGAGCCTTGCCCAGGACCAAGGCGGTAGCGTTTGACTTGATGTAAGGGTCGGGAAGGTAGAGTGGAGTTGCAGTGGAGAAGAGCTTGAGTAAGGGTGGAGTAGCAGTATTTTGGTCACAATACTGTATGTATGGAGTGTTACGCTGTCGAAAGTCCGTGTTGAACAGTAGTATGTTGTTCATGTGGTGATGCTCAACAAATTGAGTTGGTCCCCGTTTTATATCTTACCACCCCGCTGGTCTGTCCCAGGTGGCTCCTCAGACTGACGTCTGTGCTCCGTGCTCTGACTGACCTCTTTACCCCGCTGGTCCGTCCCAGGTGGTGCCAGCGACCTCTTTGGTCTGCCCCTGCCTGACGTTTTTACCCCGCTGGTGTGTTTCAGGTGGTGGACGACAGCACGGTGCAGGAGCTGCCGGAGCCGCCGCCCGACCGTGCTCACCTGGTTAAGGCCGAGTGGTTCTGGGCCTGCATTCAGATGGACGCCGCTGCCGACGAGAGCATGTACCGCTTCCAGACCCCACCGGTCAGTAAATGGGAGGGGGCAGGTACCGCCTCCAGTGTCAGTAAAGGTGCCGCTTTGAAACTCCGCTGGTCAGATACAACGGGACAGGTACCGTTTCCAGACGCCGCCGGTCAGTAAACTGTGGGATAGGTACCGCTCCCAAACTCTGCCAGTCAGTTGAAGAGGCTGCCGGAGCCGTGCTCTGATCCCCGACCCCGTGGGTCGTCATTTGCGGCGGCCGTATATGTGCTCTCAGTGAAAGCCGATGCAAAAGTTTGATGGTTCGTGTTATGCCACCGAGATGTTACTTTTTAACAGTTCATGAATATTTATCGACTGAAAATAGATTGCATTCATGTGCCGAGGTAGTGCCCATGTTTGTTTTAGCTTGCGCTGTTTCATCATGTCGTTCTGCTACTGACACTCGTATTCGGCTGCCTCCCAGGCCCGGGAGGTGCCCAGCCCGGCGGCGGCCACCCTCCTCATGCCCACCATCACCCCGAGCTCGCGCACCACGCGCAAACGGAAGCGGCTCCGCGAGACGCTGCACCAGCTGGCGCGCGACACGCCCAGCCCGGCCGTGACGTCACCCACCGGCGGCCAATCGCAGGTCAGACGCCGCCCGCCGCTGGAGTCACCCGGCCCGGGGACCCTGTCCTGGCGGCCCAGGCATACACATTGTGGCAACTGGGGACTATTTGATATGCATATTTTGTTAAGGCGTATGTCGTGCTTTACAGTCTCATCAATTTTTCTTAAATTGCTGACTTGATTGTTCATTGATTCGATGCTTATAGTCTCATGACTCGTTTTGTAGCATCTTACTTGATTTAGCATTAAAACAATCACGCTCTCTGATGGCACTGCTGCCTGAACCGATCCCTGAGCTCGTGACTCCCCTAACACGCCGCTCCCTCTCGGTGGCCGACAGCCGACGGCCAAGCGGCGCTCGTCCATCACCGACATCAACCTGCTGTCGACGTCGGGCTCCTTCCTGGACGCCACGCCGGGCGGCGACACCGACACCTCGACATTCGCCGGTACGGGGAGGTGCAGGTCGGGCGGGGAGCTCTGGAACGACAGCCGGGCGGCTGAGGCTGGCTGAGGTAGGATGGGATGGGATGGGTTGAGACTTTGAATCGGAAATGATGCGAAGGGATAATGGAAGTGGTAAGATTAGGAGCGCCGCTCTGGAGGACGATACAACGGAAAATGCGAGAGCTCTGGCACAGGCGCTGCTGCATCCACTTCAATCCGCCTCCACCCAAAACTGCACTCCCTTGTGACCTTGTCTGACCCTACCCGGCCCTGTCTGACCGCACCTGACCCCATCTGAACCCTCCCGACCCCGTCTAACCTCAGTCGCGGCCTCTGGCACTATGTTCCAGGTCCCGGCGCCTGTCCGTCCCGCCTGACTCCAATCTTTGAGAATCCTAACCTGTCGGTGGACCCGCCGAACTATACCCCCAACACCCCGCCTCCGCCGCCGCCTCCACCACCGCCGCTCTCTGCTGTCGGTAAGGAGACTGTCTCCGGACGGCCGGGCCAGCGTCGACTGTGGGGGGGGGAGGAGGCTGCTGAGACGTGCGAGTGCGGGGGGGGGGGGGTTGGAGTGAGCTAATACGTGTCTGATGGTGTCTAGCGTGACGTATTTTCGGTTTGGTGCTGGATCACCGATTTTTTAATTTGTGTTCCGTGTTATCACTTGTTTTCCTGTTATGTTCAGACTAGAATAACTCCGCCATCAACGTGCCTTTAAAATTCAATTAAGTAGTCATTTCTAGCATTGTGTTCGTTGCTGACACGTTCCTCACGAGTGACCCTTGTCTCCAGCGCACGCTCGTCTCTTCCCCTGGCGGTGATTGTTGGTATCTGAGGTTGCGTTTCTCGCCGTCAGATGGCACCTCACCTGCGCTGGGCGCGTCGCCGGCGCTGGCGGCCGACCTGCGCTCCATGTCGCCGCGGCAGCAGGTGTTTCACGAGCTGCTGCAGACCGAGACCAACTACGTCAAAGTGCTGCACACCGTGGTCACGGTACGGGGACGGGACGCGGGGGAACGCTGCTCGGGGGGACGGTATGTAGACGGTACCTACACGGGGGACGCCGGAGCCACCCTGCCCGTGGTGACGACACGGAGACGGGATGAGACACAGGTAGTAGCCCGGCACCAACACGGGGAGTACCGAGTAAACCTGTCCGTAGTGACGATATTAACCAAGGAGCCCATTTATCCTGCGGCCCTGTGGTGACGGCTCGGAGTGCGGAACTCAGGAAACACCTACTGACCCTAACTCAGTGGTACTGGTACGGGGAACGTGGGAGTCCTGCGAGTATATATGTACAGCGGCCGACAGGGACGATGCGGACTCAGGTACCTACTGTTAGCGACATGGGCCGACTCTCCTACCCATACGGACTGCCTCTGTCAGCGATACAATGGTCGGTAGGAGTAATGGTCGTAGGCCAGGACGAGTCCGGACGTCTGAAGCCGCACCACACTCTCACGGACGCGGGCACAGATGTGGCTGAACGGGATTCTATGGGTGTGAATATTTTCCATATTATATGCTGGAGTTATCGTGCGCTTCCATTCGATATTTTTATTTAATTTATGGTAACTGAATGTTTGTTGTCAATAGTTAAAACACTTCGGCAGAATTGTGCTTTTCTGTTGAAAAATATGACTTCCCTTACCACTTCGCAAAAGCTTTCTGAGCAGTATGTGCTGAAGTGCTCACTGATCTTTTGAGCTCAAATCCGGCCTTTTGTTTTCCCATATCTCTAAATTATCCTGGTCTAAACAGCTTCCCGGGGCAGGCAGCCCAATTTATTTTCCTTGTGTCGTGCTGCGTCGTTTAACAGCTGCTGCGCCCGCTGAGTCACCGGAGGAGTATAATTACTGCGGACCCCCGCCGCGCGACTGACTGGGACTCTGTGCTCCCGGGGCCGCGGCGGCCTGCGGCCCTCCCTCTGCGCCGGCCGCAGCGCGTCGCAGATCGACTGACGCCGCCCAGAGCCGCCCTTTTTGCGCGCCGACCATCCGCCAGTCCAAAGCCTCAATCAAAACTGCAATTTGTAGGGGCGCTGTTTTGGCGAGCGCGCGCTCTGAAGCGGGCCGTGGTGGCCGTCGGAACTTTAGCGGCGCCGCTGAGCCGTTTGTTTTGCCCGGCCGTCCGCCAGTCGAGGGCGCGGAGAGACGCCACTCACGACGGCAGGAGTCGGCCGGGATGAATGGAGCGGCGTCTGATGATTAATGGGGCCAGCCATCGGCCGCGTTTACAGTTCCTTCTAAAGGCGATTTTTTGCAGATGTGCTGGATTTAAATGTGGTCACGATAAACCTTTCAGCTTTCAGCTGGACCGATGTTGACCGCTTTGATAAAATGTCCTGATTGAAGCGTTAGTTATCGATTTTCATCATTAGATTATCGCTTAGCATTTCTCTCCGTCATACCGACGCATTCTTGAAGCTTTTGAAATTCAAACAGGCGTTGCAGTAGCGCGTTTCTTCATGCATGGGATCGACGCCGATAGTGCTGGGCGGTCGGTGTCGACTCTCGCCCTGTCCGACTTACCCGTCTGGTCCGGCGCCGGATGGTGCCCCCCCCCCCCCTCCTCCCCCTGTCCGTCTGTACCCGTCCGGTCCGGTCACTGGCACACTGGCCGTCCGGCCACCTCCAAATGAAGTTAGAGCCTCTCTGGGCTCCCCACGGACTGCGGCGCCGGCCCCAAAGTTTCCGCCCGTCACCCCGCTGAGCAGTGGGCCGCCTCTCCGGGAACGTCGCCTTCGCCTCACTTTGCCGATATAGGGTTACGTAGTGAGGGAAGGGCAGCGACATTGCACAAGATACAGGCTTACTTTTGACAGTGAAATGAAAAAATTCAATCTGACGTCATTCGTCACTGATGAAGATCTTGGGTGCGTTATGTATTCATATTTTCCGGGTGGAGAGGTTCAGCATTTTATATGTAGCTGCATTTTGCTGATTGCAGCTCGGAACTCACGATGTCTAATGTTGAAAACAACGGACTGCTATAAACACGCAGTGTGCCGACTCAATTTATTTTCAGCCTTTCCTCAGGAATTGAGAGCGTCTCTCTTTGTCCCTGCTGTGTGTCCGACATGAAGCTCGGCCATTTCGAGTTGATGTGCGGTTTTACATCGTCCGGGCCTTTATACGAGTGTGGCCGCATTCGGCGCACGCTGTACGATGCAGATAACGGCTGGAGACGTCTGCCTCTGCAAATTACGGCGGCCGGCCGGCCGGCAGGGTCGTCTTGTTGACGCTGTGCGCCGGGGCGTGAGCGGCGCGCCGTCCGCCCCGTCCGCCGCCGTCCGCCGCCCGCATACCACGCGAGTGGCTTACATTCAGCCGTCGGACCGCCGGACGGTCGCAGATTTACCGAGACGCACCGGCTCGCCGCGGCGGCACACGCTCGGACGGACGGACAGTAACTCGGGCGGCTGATTCCGCCCGGTCGTAGCAGGCCTGTCGCGGGCGCCGCGCCGGTCGCTCGGCCGCCGTCCCGGGGCGTCTTTGACTCGTCTGGACGCGGCGCTCTGTCCGGACGGGGGCGCCTGGGAGCTGCCGACGACGGAACACGTGCCGGTTTTGTCGGTCTACCAGCCGCGGCGGAGGCCGGGAGACGGACGAGCCGGCGCCGGGTTCCAGGCAGCCGCTCGGCTGGCGGCCGGTCACCGCTGTCTGGAGGCTGCGCGCTGTGCAGAGAAGGCCAGAAGGATGTGGCGGCGTAGGCCGTACTATAGCTGAGATTGAGATTAGGGGTTAGTTTATGGGAGGCATTCATTGTTTGTTTATGTGGATGGCGTATTTGCAGCGGAATGGAAGTGGACCGATTGACTGAATGAAAGAGAACCTTGGTCCAAAGCAGCAGTAGTCATTATTTGTGATACGCCCTGAAATATAACAGCATATTCACATAAACAGACACCATCTTGTACAGCATTATATACGGGGGGGTCACTGTACCAGCGGCTACTTACTGCGTACCTGAATCATAGCAGGTCGCTGCATCAGTCAATTAGCTCTCCAACTTTTCAGCCATATATGGCTCCTATATGCATGGCTCCATACACATGCCCTAAGTTGCAGTCCGCCCGCCTCTCAACTTTGAGCTACCCGTTAGAGCAGGCTGTCCAGCTGACTTCTGATGGGCCAATGGCCGTCTGCTCTACCGGCTGCCTGTTGGGCCAATGACAGACTGTTCTGCTGGCTGCTGATGAACCAATGACAGTCTGTTCTGCTGGCTGCTGATTCGGCTGGCGTACGAACACCTGCGCCAATCGATAGCGGGCTGACCGGACGCCGGTGCCGCCCCTGCGGGGCTGTCCTGTCCTGTCCGCTGCCGAGTGGAGACTGCCGAACAAAGATTGAAAACGGGCTCAGCGGCACCTCTGGAGCCGCGCGCGGATGCGTTGTTTGTGGAGGTGCGGCCGGTAATGTGCTTACGGAGACGGTGGCCGGGCCCGGCTGCGCACAGTGATAAAATGGCATCTCAGGGCTCGCAGTTTGCCGTTGAACAGCTGTGTCTGGAAACAGATGTGCCTTTTAATCTGTAGGAGCTATGTATGACCTTCATTTATATTAATTGCCTTTGAAAAGTTCCGGTGATCTTTAAGGGAGTTCGCTGCAGAGGCGAAATCTCCACCGGCCGAGAACTTTCTCTGTTCGGCCAGAATTAGCAGCGGGCGCTGGTGTAGTTTCCGGGCCCGGCGTGTAAATTAGCCCATCGAGCAGACCCGACGTCCGGCGGGTGGGTCCTACACCGGCCGACAAGTCTGCTCTGCCCCTCTGCAGACGGGTCTGTGCTCCGCCACCTCTCTCCGCTCTGGCTTCTGGCCCGCGCTCTGCCCTTCTGCCGACGAGTCTGCTCTGTTCTCCTGTTCGGGGGGTGGCTGCACCTCCGCCTGGCGTATACATGAATCGTGCCGCGGCGGGTGTCTCAGGGGCGGCACATGTCTTGTACACATTTTACATTCATGTCGCATTTAGTGTCAGGCCACCAGCTCAAACTAAATGAACTCATCCCAAGGAAGGACTTAACGCTCGTCGCAATGATTCAACGTTTATATTGCTTTTAGTGTTGAGAGAGTGGAAAGTCCGTTCCCTTCCGCATCCCCTGTCGTTCTGCGCTGTCCGCCTCGTTGCGTGTTAAGTATAACCGATTCTCCCCTCTCCACAGCTGTTCAAGGAGCCACTGGAGGGCGCTGATCAGGTGGGCGGGCCTCTGCTGGAGCCGCCCGATATTAAGATAATTTTCGGCAACATCCCGCCCATCTACGAGGTGCACTGCCAGCTGCGGGATGACCTGGCGGCCATGGCCGGCCGCTGGCGTGACGAACTCTCGGTCGGCGAGGCCGTCATCAAATACGTGAGTACGGCCCGGGCGGGGCGGCCTCCGCCTCGTGTACCTCGGCTCGGCTCCAGTGCCGAGGGCGAGCGGGAACAGCAGAGACTCGTGGGTCATGTAGATAGGTAACTTAGAAAGGTTAACTTGTAAGTTGTAACTCGTGTAGCGCGTTACGAGTGAGTGTATTACAGTAGCCGGGATAGAACGATCCGTTTGATAACAAATAAATGTCCTTACCTTGCCTTTGTCCTGCCATTGTCAATAATGTGTTCCACCGAATCTATGCCCTTTCGGCCGCTCCCATCACTCCATCCTGTGGGTCCGCCCGGCTCCATATCCCGCCGCAGTCGTATGTTATCGTTACAGCGGCCGGCTGCCGTCTGCTGTCCGGCCGGCCGGCGGTCTTCTCTCCATTATCCGCCCACTGACACGGCGGCCATCACGCAGTGTCCACAGTCCCCTCCGTGACCGGCCGCCCGCGCGCCCGTGTCGACTTTGCCAATTATCGGCGCCCTGTTCCGGGTCAGTTACCGATGCGGCCGCGCTCGACGGCCGTTAGTGAATTCCGGAGCGGCCGCCACAGCCGCGGAAACTCCAGGGCTGAGGCGCGTCCTTGGACGGGCCATCCGTTGTCCGTTTAGGGCCGCGGCCGGTTGTCTGTCCGTTAGTGACGTAAATTCCTGCGGTCGGGCAGCCGTTGTGTTTCATTGTGGGGCTGTCCGTCTTCGGCCGTCACGGTTGTGACATTTCTACCGACAGCGATTGACTGATGGGGCTGTTGTATTGTTTTATTTATTTAACGCCCGGACTGGATGTTTGAATTTCATTGGTAGCGATCTGACCTTCGAGGCGCCCTGGAAGTCTATTTGTCCTGGCTGCCGTCGGCCTGCTCTATTGCCGGCGTGGGCCGTCTGTCCTTTGACTTAACAATCTACCACACAAACCCTACACTGCTGCCAGCGAGTGTGTTGTCTCGCAACAGCGGTGAATGAGTCCGGGTTAAGGAACCATTACATTTTAACATATTTTTCAATTGTTGAACTCAATGAACTTTTCCATGACATTTAATGTAGACCCACAACTACTTTTGAAATAATTCCTCCCTCGTTTCTTCCCTCTCCCCCTATTGTTTATCCGACTGTGGCTAACCGTCCCGCGGTACCCCCACAGGGTGACGACCTGATGCGCTCCTACCCGCCGTTCGTCAACTTCTTCGAGAAGTCGAAGGAGACGCTGGTGCGGCTGGACCAGGCGCGGCCGCGCTTCCACGCCTTCCTCAAGATCAGCCAGAGCAAGCCCGAGTGCGGCCGCCAGACGCTGCAGGAGCTGCTGATCCGGCCCGTCCAGCGACTGCCCAGCATGATCCTACTGCTCAACGGTACGGTGGATGGAGGGAAGGGAAAGTAGCGGGCCGGCTGGGGAGGGGACTGACGTCATGAGGATGGAATGAAGATTGGTGGTTCTGTTTCAGTGTCATTTTTGGCTGGCCGGAGAAAGTCGTATATTTTAGTTTCGTTAATGTCATGCATTTTTAACAGAAAAAAAAACTATTAAAGCTTCATCAGTCAAAATTTTCACAACCTCATCGTTCCCTAGCATAGTGCTCCTGCGACCACAGCCAATTTGCGTGCTTATAAGCCCTTATCTGTCCACACTACTGTAAAATGGCTGACACTACTTCTCTGCCCAGGCTGCATTCCTAACGTTCCTCTAGTTCTCTCGCCGCTGACAGTATCTGACACCCCTCTCGCTCTCTATCTCTCTCACGGCAGACATTCTGAAGCACACACCCAAAAGTCACCCGGACCACCAGAAGCTGGAGGAGGCCCTGGCTAAGATCAAGGAGGTGATGACCCACATCAACGAGGACAAGCGGCGCACCGAGGGTCAGATGGCGCTCTTCAACATCTTCAACGACATCGAGAACTGCCCGGTAGGACTGAGAGACTGTCGGCGGGGGCTGGAATAGGAAACTCGGCCCGTTCCACGGCCGCCGGCGGGGGCTGGGATTGGAGGCTGTACCCGTTCCACGGTCGCCGGCAGGGGCTGGGATTGGAGGCTGTACCCGTTCCACGGCCGCCGGCAGGGGCTGGGATTGTAGGCTGTACCCGTTCCGCTGCCGCCCGCCGCCGGTGGGGCTCAGTGATTGTTTTCGCCGCCGGTCGGGCGGCGACGGTCGCGCTGAGCCAATAATCCGACCGTCTCCGCGCGGCCGGCAGCGCCACACTTTATGGTGCCAGTTATTAAAGGCAACTGTTGATCGCGCTGCCGGTGACAGTTTATTGCCAGCGCCGCGCCGACCGAGACGGGGCTCGGACACGGGGTACACACACGGTACCGACCGGGACGGGGCCCGGACACGGGGTACACGGTACTGAGTACCGACCGGGACGGGGCTCGGACACGGGGTACACGGCGGCGACTAGGGTGGAGTACAGACACGGGGTACACGGCGGCGACTAGGGTGGAGTACAGACACGGGGTACACGGCGGCGACTAGGGTGGAGTACAGACACGGGGTACACGGCGGCGACTAGGGTGGAGTACAGACACGGGGTACACGGTGCCGACCGGGACGGGGCTCGGACACGGGGTACACGGTACCGACCGAGACGGGGCTGGGATACGGGGTACACGGCGGCGACTAGGGGGGAGTACAGACACAAGTACACGGTACCCACCGGGACGGGGCTGGCGCCGGGGTACTGCACAGGGTTCAGTGCAGCACCCAGGATGGCCTTTGTCCTGCTGTCCTACATGATCGGTCTGACCGGGCCTTCACTTGTCAATCGATAATGACTATAAACAGCTGCTGTATGGCTCACTGCCGGCTGCAGAACAGGTGTATCATTACGATGGGCTGACTCTTGTACTCGTGTAACAAAGGTAATATCAGAGCATCTCAGCTGTATCGGAGTTCCGACTGACCACTGTCGGCCGGTGGATACTGAAAAGTCACGTGTCTTTGCGCCGGCACAGAGAGGGGTGACGTCACGGACTGACGCGTATGACGTCACGGGTGATGTTTGCTCTGCGGGCCGGCGCCGCGGCAAAGTACACCTGCCCGCGGCCTCTCAGTATTTATAGACCGGTCCGCAGTGCGGTTTGACAAACAATAAAGGCGCCGGATGGGGTTTGAGGTGCCGCGGGCCGATGTGGCCGTGGCTAGTGGGTGGCCCCGGGCGGGCGACCGTGATCATTGGGCACTTATGACATTGACATTGCCGTTACCGGCTATGGCTTGAAAAGTTTACAACTTAGTATAAAATGGTAGGATTTGGATGTTTTGGAACTTCTGCCACGCTCATGACGCGCTGTGACCCCGCGTGTTGTGTGACGTCACAGGCCCACATTGTGTCGTCCCACCGGTCGTTCGTCACACGCTGTGATGTGGTGGAGATCAAGGGTGACGGTCTGAGCGGCCGCGGCGACCACCTCATCATGTTCCTGTTCTCCGACATGCTGGAGGTGAGTGGGGAGGGAGGAGGGGAAATGTGGTGAAGGTGTAGAATCCTTTACACTAAGCACTATGGAGTGACTTCAGTTTCCTGATGAGAAGAGTGTGTTGAAAATGCTTTGTTTCATGACGGAGAGGTCCTGACATCATTACATTATGCGCTGTTTGATCTGAAGAATGGATGGATGTGTTTGATAGGAACTACATTGATGTAGTTAGCTGCATCATTGGTTGTCTTTATTTAAGTTCGCCTCATAATCGGATGAAGGCAATTCTGTTTCAGTAGTATTTCCGTCTTTCAGACATAAGATCAGCTCTTGTTCCTCCGAGTGTTATTCCGGGACGTGAAGCCTCCACGGTATAAAAGCTAGCCACTAGACCGAATATTTGGTCGTCCCAACGCCCGCCTCTCCAGTCTCCACTGTCCTCCCCCCCCCCCCGCCCTGCGGGGTCGACGGCCCCACACTACGGAGTACGGGGAGGGAGCTGTTCCGGACCGTGCGCGCCCCATTGAGTCGGAAGGGGCAGCCGCGCGGCCGGCCGGGCGCGCTGCGGGCATTGTCTCCGAATGGGGCGGAGCGCCGTTTGTCGCTCCCGAACCGGGCACCAAATGTGGAGCGGAGTCGCGAGTCAGCGGGCGCGGTGATGTAGTGGAGCTGTGACCGACTGCGGTCATCACTGAATGACCGGGCCGCGGCCATCAGCGTCACACACTGTGACATACTGCGCGCTCATCCACTCCATACGCAGCCAGGGGATGACCGTGGTGTCTATATGTGCGTTCGCTGGAGCACGGACTGAAGGCATAAAAGGGCCCTGAGGCATGTCGATCGATGTCCACACGAAATGGATCACGAAGTGGCTCCCTCAATGGCTCCAGCAGAGGATTATCCCCACCCCTGTGTGTAACTTGGAGCGCGATCTGTGAAACTCCAGGTACGGCGCCCGGTGACTGGCTCGGTCCGCGGTATTTCACGGCGGGCGGTCGGAGGGACGGCCCGCCGGCCCCGCGTTCCCCGTAGGACGGACGAGGTTTCCGACCGAGTGGCTCTCATCAGCGCCTGTTCAGAGGGCGAGTGACCTCAAAGGCCGCGCCGACCGCGGGTGACGCCGTCCGAGCAGGGCCCAGACGCGGGGCACCGAGCAGGGCCCAGCCACAGGGCGCGGACCGGCGACCGCGCTGAGGGCACTGTGTCGCGGCCAGGACGGAGCGGTGCATTGGTAGGAGCCCATCCGCGTCTGCTGCGCTGCAGCTGACAGTACACAACAATTTTTCACTTGTGGCGACACCTTTTTTGACATAAATCAACCTGCTTCCAAGCTAAAATAGTTATGAGCTGAATTGGTGTCGCTTCGTATGTTTCAAAAGGCATGTGATACGCTCTTTGGTCGAATTCTGATTGGACCTTATTTTCTTCGTTAATGATTCAAAGCATTTCGGTTTGCTGCGGGCAAATAGCGCTGGAAATCTGTTGTTATGGGCTCTCTTTAATTGGTGATCTGTGCAGTTCATATGTCCATTGGGCTCCGATCCAATATCATGAATTGTTTCTGATCCCGGTAGGTCAGTATCGGGAAACGTTTTCTGACCCTCGGCACGCTCAAGGGCCGTTGGTCACCGCAGCCCCCCCCCCCCACCCCCAGCCCCCCGCCCCGGTGTGGGTCTGCAGTGGCAGCAGCGGCGGCGGAGTGCTGTCACTCTGCCATAGGCGTCGCCAGACATTTTCGGTTGGGGGGGCAAAATCAAGTTTTGTGTTAAATCTTGCCTTTCCCCAGGCCCCAGCCGTTACTCACTCGTTTTACATATCATTCGACGCGCAATGGTGCGAGGAATCCGATGGTGACAAAGTTTTCCTTCTAGCTATAGCAAGAATTTTTTACAAAAAAAAAATCAAAATTTTGAAATTCCTGGACAAAAACGACCGTTAGAATTACAGTGGCTGCGATTGCCGACGCACTGCAGAGGGCCCCTGTGCAGACTCTCGTCGCTCATGATCATTACCCAGAAGAAGGTGAAAAACGCTCCATTTGAATCGGATCACCTCGCTAAAACCTCCATTCACGCATGCATGCCGAGGTTTTACGTGAAATGCATAGGGCTTATCCCAGCCGCCGATTGTAGCTAAGAATTGGGCATTCGGCGGAGACTGAGAGAGAATGTCGGAAGTGTGAATCGGAAGTACATCATTCATCCTTGCTGCAGTGAGAAGAAGTGTTTTGTTCACTCGAGTGTGAACACAAAGTTTCTGGTTTTTCGAGTGAAGGGAAACGCTGCAAACGCGACCAAAAATATTTAACGGAACCAAAAGTTACGCACGGCATAGCGGCAAGGGATCCCTTAGAGATAGGATTGCGACTTCCAGGCCATTTCAGGCCACTGAGGGTCAGTGTGGACTCTCAGAAGCCTGCTTAGGATCCCGGAGATCGGCGTGGGTCACCCCAAATATTTACGTGTATGTGGTGCTTTAGGGCTTTCCGAGCCTAAGGTGGGCCCGGAAAGCCCTTTAGGGCACACGAGCTTTCAGAAGCCAGTGTGGGCGGCGGGCGCTAAGAGACTAGGCCCAGGGTGAGCCTGGAGCCCTCGAATAACAGTGTGAACCGTCGGGGTCTGTGTCGAATCCTTAAGGACTCTACGTTGTTAGGGACATAAGAAACATGTGTTGCGGTCCTCAGAGGGACACGTGAGTTGTGACCCCTCAGATGCCGGGTTGGGGTTTAGTAAAGTCTGTCGCCTCAAAAGTTCGGCTGAACTATCATAGGCCAGTTGAGGTTTTCATAAATTTTCGAAGGCATCCTCAAAGATTCGTGTGGCCCTTCAGAGGTCTACGTATGTATAATGTCCTCAAAGATCCCTGTATGGGCCCTCTAGAGAACATGGACACCAGTGGGACTCTCAGAGGCCGGTTTGGGCCCTCCGAAAGCTTCTTAGAGCTCAGTGGAGCTCCTTAGGAGCCTGTGTGAAAAGCAGGCTCATGAGCCCTGCGGCACTTGAACGGTACTTGTGCCTGTCGCAGACATTTGACGAGAGTTGAGAAAGGCCCCGAAGATTTCGTGTCACGCTTTGAACGAAAATTATGTGCCAGCACTCCAAAATTTATGAAAATCAGCTACAAAATGTAATACAGAACCAACTAGTAACATGGCATGAATCATGGCATTGACATTTCCGAGTCTGGAGTCGGAGTCTTGAAGATTTTGGCGACTGCGACTCTGACTTTGGTTTGAACTGCACGCTCCAACAGAGTCTGACCTCACAGGCATTCTCAGAAAGGTACCCCCATTTTTCCCCGACTCCAAAATCTCATCGGATCTGTATCGATCTCAGGGGGTGCCCGGTCCGAGGTTGGGGGGCAAGCTGCCCCGCTTGCCCCCCCGTGGCGACGCTACTGCACTCTGCCGCTGCTCCGCCGGCACTCCTGGAACTCCAGTATGGGGAGGGAGTGCCGCGCGCTACGTGCTGCGGTCGGTGGTGTGGCTCCCCACACGGCCCACAGTCGCCGGCGGCGTCCACTTCCGCGCCCCCGTCCCACAATAGCGCCGGCGGCGTCTATTTTTAGCGGCGCGCCACAAATAGGGCGCCGGCGCGGAGGTGCGTGGCGCCAAGTGGCACGGCGCGCCATCGAGCGGTGCGTACCACCGCCCCCTCCCCCGCGGCCCCGCCGTGCGGCCGGTGGGAGCGGCCGGCTGCGGCTGAGAGACGGGCCGGGTCCGGGGCCGCCGGCAGCGGTCTATCCTGGGCGCGCCGACTTCCCGACTGCGGATGTACCTTTTACACGGAGCCGCCGCCGGCGCCGCCCGGTCGCACGCTATGCTCCGCGTTAGTGCGCGGGGCGGAGCGGGGATGTCCTACCGGCCCGCGCGGCGGACCGACGGGTTACGGACCGGACAGCTCCGGGGTCCTTTGATATGTCACTGCTAATGAGCTCCACCCCGCGTCTCCGGCAGTCTCTGAAAGGAGCGCCCCACCCGAGTGTGTGCAGAGCGAGGACAAACAGCGCTTGATCTCCGGCTCGCTGCGTACGTGTATTTTTACCTCCGCAAAGCCTTATTTACGTTATTTACCTTTTGTCGCCGCGTTTGAACGTGATGAAAATATTGACGTTCTCCGCCATTCTCCTCGGTCGATGTCATACTAGTTCTGTGTCTCTATCTTTGCTGGGTGCAATTTTTCACAACGGTATTGCAGCTTGATCCGGCTGTTCTCTAGTCTCTCGAGCTGAGTCCATGTGACTGCTAGTGTCCTGAGGCCATCTTACTGGCCTCAACGTATCAGCTAAAACAGTTATCGCTGACATTTTGCCGATCTGTTGTCATCTCTCTCCCTTCAGCTAACGTTATCGTGCTCCATTTTCTATTTCATTTATTTGTCTTCTCTCCTCTGTCTCTGTCTCTCTCTCTCTCTCTCTCTCTCTCTCTCTCTCTCTCTCTCTCTCTCTCTCTCTCTCTCTCTCTCTCTCTCTCTCTCTCTCTCTCTCTCTCTCTCTCTCTCTCTCTCTCTCTCTCTCTCTCTCTCTCGCTCTCTCGCTCTCGCTCTCTCCCCCTGTTCCTTTGAATCAGCCCTCCCAGGCTGTATGTCATACAGTGTTCACGCCCCACACCGGCAAATGCTGCGCAGTCTGCTGCAGCTGAACCTGCCCACTGCGCCAACCGAACTCCGCGCTCCCGGAGGGCTGCCCCACGCGCGCTGTCAAACCTGATTCCGGCGGACGGGCCGCCCGCTGCCGGCCGGCGCTCTGCGCTCTTTGTGAGCCGCCCGCTGCAAACTCGGTGGCCCGCCGGCCGACCACAGGCTTCGGGCCGCCGCATTGTGGCGCCGACACGAGTTAGTCGGAGCGGCCCTCAATCGCCAGCCGCGCCGCCGCGCAGGTCCCGCGGGACTCCGCCTCCCGCCATTATAAACGGAGCGCGCGCTCCGGGTGACGCCGCTGCCGCACTCAGCGCTGGCGAATTTGGCGAGCTCGCCGGCGTTGTACGGCCTCCCTGTTGGATCTGCGTGCATTGTGCTGCAGCCTCACCCGGGCCGTCGACGTGCAATGTGGATATTGAATGTGTCGATCGATTGGTGGTGTAGCCCACAGCGTGCTCGATCCCACCGGTATGCGCTGTAGGACGTAGCTGCCGTCAGCCCCGCTGCGGTCCGCCTGCCACCGCCCGAGATGGCGTGCCGGAGTGTCAGGCCGATTTGGTCGCATAGCTGCGGGGAGGTGTGTGCCGTCTGTCTGCGTTACTCTGTATGTCGGAGAGTTGCTCCCGCCATGCGCTTTTAACCTGAGGCTTCGCTGGAAGTTCCTCAGTCAGCTCCTGATGTATGGTCGCAAAATGACATTTTGCGACCGACTACTATCGGTCCTAAAGCCCCATTGAACAAAACAGTCAGCTTCTGACTTTACGTCTCTGCTATGTACACTGTATTATTTCTAATGTATACCTTCATATCTCTCTGTCTCTCTCCAGGTGTGTAAGAAGCGGGCGCGGTACAACTCGCTGCGCTCGCCGTCAGGCTGCTATGTCTCTCTGTTGTGTCTCACTATATGTCTCGGTCTCTCCAGGTGTGCAAGAAGCGTGCGCGGTACAACTCTCTGCGCTCGCCGTCAGGCTGCTGTCTCTCTGATATGTCTCTCTGTTGCGTCTCACTGTATGTCTCTGTATCTCTCCAGGTGTGTAAGAAGCGGGCGCGGTACAACTCTCTCCGCCCGCCGTCAGGCTGCTATGTCTCTCTGCTATGTCTCTCTGTTGTGTCTCACTATATGGCTCTGTCTCTCCAGGTGTGTAAGAAGCGTGCGCGGTACAACTCTCTGCGCTCGCCGTCAGGCTGCTATGTCTCTGCTATGTCTCTCTGCTATGTCTCTCTGTTGCGTCTCACTATATGTCTCTGTCTCTCTCCAGGTGTGTAAGAAGCGTGCGCGGTACAACTCTCTGCGCTCGCCGTCAGGCTGCTATGTCTCTCTGTTGTGTCTCACTGTATGTCTCTGTCTCTCTCCAGGTGTGTAAGAAGCGTGCGCGGTACAACTCGCTGCGCTCGCCGTCAGGCTGCTATGTCTCTGCTATGTCTCTCTGCTATGTCTCTCTGTTGCGTCTCACTATATGTCTCTGTCTCTCTCCAGGTGTGTAAGAAGCGTGCGCGGTACAACTCTCTGCGCTCGCCGTCAGGCTGCTATGTCTCTCTGTTGTGTCTCACTGTATGTCTCTGTCTCTCTCCAGGTGTGTAAGAAGCGTGCGCGGTACAACTCGCTGCGCTCGCCGTCAGGCTGCTGTCTCTCTGATATGTCTCTCTGTTGCGTCTCACTGTATGTCCCTGTGTCTCTCCAGGTGTGTAAGAAGCGTGCGCGGTACAACTCTCTGCGCTCGCCGTCAGGCTGCTATGTCTCTCTGTTGTGTCTCACTGTATGTCTCTGTCTCTCTCCAGGTGTGTAAGAAGCGTGCGCGGTACAACTCGCTGCGCTCGCCGTCAGGCTGCTGTCTCTCTGATATGTCTCTCTGTTGCGTCTCACTGTATGTCCCTGTGTCTCTCCAGGTGTGTAAGAAGCGTGCGCGGTACAACTCGCTGCGCTCGCCGTCAGGCTGCTATGTCTCTGCTATGTCTCTCTGCTATGTCTCTCTGTTGCGTCTCACTATATGTCTCTGTCTCTCTCCAGGTGTGTAAGAAGCGTGCGCGGTACAATCTCTGCGCTCGCCGTCAGGCTGCTATGTCTCTCTGTTGTGTCTCACTGTATGTCTCTGTCTCTCTCCAGGTGTGTAAGAAGCGTGCGCGGTACAACTCGCTGCGCTCGCCGTCAGGCTGCTGTCTCTCTGATATGTCTCTCTGTTGCGTCTCACTGTATGTCCCTGAGTCTCTCCAGGTGTGTAAGAAGCGTGCGCGGTACTACTCTCTCCGCTCGCCGTCAGGCTGCTATGTCTCTCTGTTGTGTCTCACTGTATGTCTCTGTCTCTCTCCAGGTGTGTAAGAAGCGTGCGCGGTACAACTCGCTGCGCTCGCCGTCAGGCTGCTGTCTCTCTGATATGTCTCTCTGTTGCGTCTCACTGTATGTCCCTGTGTCTCTCCAGGTGTGTAAGAAGCGTGCGCGGTACAACTCGCTGCGCTCGCCGTCAGGCTGCTATGTCTCTGCTATGTCTCTCTGCTATGTCTCTCTGTTGCGTCTCACTGTATGTCTCTGTCTCTCTCCAGGTGTGTAAGAAGCGTGCGCGGTACAACTCGCTGCGCTCGCCGTCGGCCGTCAGTTTGCAGGCGGCGGCGCGCTCCTTCAAGCCGTACAAGCACGTGGAGCTGATGCCGCTGGCGCACATCAAGCGCGTGGTGGACATCCGCGAGACGGAGGGTAAGGCGGCGGCGTGGGGCGGTCGCTCCGCCGCCGGCCGGCGCCTCTCCTCGGTCTCCTTTGCCAGCCTGGTGTCGGCGGCCTCGTCCGAGTCCTCGCTCCTCTCAGGTACCGCTCCTCGCTCCTCACACTGTCATCGATCCGCCCGAAACTCGCACCTGCCCCCCTCAGGAACCGAGTCTCAGTCTCCGCCAGGTCTGCATCATTTTTAGTGGCATCGTTATTGGGATACGAATACTGAACTAGACTGCAGCTTTGCTTATTGGCGTTTGTTTGCCAGGTACTAAATAAATACTACCACACCCTCAGCAGCTAAGTAGTTACCGTTGATCTATCTAAATTAGTTGTTGAGTTTGCTAGATCTCGTAGGACACGTTTAAGGCCTGGCTACACTATGTGTTTTCTGCGTGCGTTTTTTGCGAGTTTGCATGATTTGCGGAATATCGTTCTAGAAAGAAACGACATTACGTTTTTGTTATATGTTTTTTCATATAAACTTTTAATTAATATAAACGTTTTATTAACTTTTATACAAATATCAAAGAAGGTATATTAATAATAACTTCTTTTTCTAGAACGATATTACGCAAAACACGTAAACTCGCAAAAAACGCACGCAGAAAACGCATAGTGTAGCCAGGCCTTTACAGCGCACATTTTTAACTGTACAGAGCCACGAAACATTGTTCCACATTGTGTTGCCGTTCAGTGGGCTTCTGACCTGACACTCTCCCCAAACACTCCTCTCGAGTCTGGTAGGGCCGGCCACACCCCGTGCGCGCCCTCTCCTCCACTGACTCCCCCTCCCCCCGTCTGTGATTGGCAGAGTGTCACAACGTGTTCACGCTGATCTGCCGGAGCAACCAGGAGCTGAAGGAGCGTCACTACACGTTCACCATCAGCTCCGAGGACGTGCAGAAGGAGCAGTTTCTGCGCACACTCTGCAGGCAGATGGCGCACGTCACCTGCCGCGCCGACGCCGTGAGTGACGGGAAAGGGACAGGGGCGGTGGTCTAGCCGTGAGCGCGGCACGAGGGGGGGGGAGCAGCGGAAAAGGCGTGCCGTAAGTGACGGGAAAGGGGAGGGGAAGCGGCTTAGGGGCGCCTTGAGGGAGTTTGACCGTCCTGCTTTTTATCAAGTGTAAATATTTTCAGCAGCTTGATTTGTCCTTCGTAGCATATTGTATATGGTAAGGCATTAAATTTAACATCATGTTCTTTGAAGAACGGGAAATATGGCGTGGGCTCATGCATCTGCTGGTCGGCCGTGTTTGCCGCCGCAGTGCTGAATATCGGCCGCGCTCTGTCCGTGCGGTTACTGACCACACCTGCCTCACCGTGCCGCCGCAGGAGAACTTCCTGACGGTGCTGGACCCGCAGCACCTGGACATCGAGAGCAGTGAGGTGGCCGGGTCGAGCACACTCAGCCGCGTCTCAAAGTGAGTACCGCAGACCGCCCTCATACCGTCTCAAATTGAGTACACGCACCCTCAGTCGCGTCTCGTGAGAGCACCCTGTCCTCGGCCCGCCTTATGGTGACCAGAGAAATGAAGCAAAAAGGCCGGCAAATTTGCCGCATTTTTAGGTCCGAGTTATTTTATCGCCAACGGGCGTCCGGTAGGAACAAGGCGATATAATCCAGAAAACACTTTTTTGTAGTTGTTCAGTAGGTATCTAGTTGTTGAGTGTATGGTCTGGAATGATTCTGTGGTTTGATATAGCCAGTTTGACCCGGTGCCGGCGGTTCTGGTGGGGTCACTACGAACCACACTGCCCAGCCAGTGGGCGCCTGGCTCCAACCAGGAGACTGATGGCGTCCCATCTAAACGAGATAAAGACGACTTCCGTGGAAGTCATCGCCGTAATAACCCCCTGTGGGCAGCTCCCCCTGCAGCTGGTGAGGGGAGTGAGGTCAGGGTGGGTGATCTGGATAGAGTACATAGGGGAGAGTGGGGCACATTCGTGCAAAAAATGGATAAACCCATATATCTGTTCTTTGGTTAGTGCAATGGCAAAATTGTTGATTGTAGTATGGAAAGGAACTATTGCAGATAGTTTTCCTCTTAAAAGTTATCCTATAAAATTATTGCTTCCATTAGAAAAAATGACTTTTATTAACTCTGAACATTTGCACGAAACTGCCCCACCTATGGGGCACATTCGTTCAAGAGATGGGGCACTTCCGTTCACCCGGCAAAATTCGAGAAATTACCGGGCATTACCAGAAATTTACCAAAGGAAATTGGCAGGGGGTCATTTCACTTGATTCCTTTCGACAAGAATGCATTGCACAACAAATGTAGAAAGAATGGGCTGGCCAACAAGAATGTGCCAACTGCCGGCCTCCGTGACCTCGCCAAGTTCGCGTGAATTGCTCGTCACGACGTCGCAAGCAGTCGAGACTGAGTCAGGCGAGCGTCATTAGAGAAACCTACTACAGATAAAGTCATAAATCGCAAAAACTAAAAAAAAAAATATGCACGAATGTGCCCCCAGGCAGTGCGTACACGAACCTGCCCCACAACGTTATTAGTAATATATTTCAAAATTTCTTTTTGAAAAAATGACACTTTTTCAACAAACAATTTTGCAGCAGTTCCGTGAATAGAGTGGGCTTCTTCACCCCCAATTTTGAAAAGCTGAACCACATTTCCGAGTCAGGATCACGAAAATGGATGGTATGAGAAAAGTTTGGAAAGCTCACGAATATTACAAATTTGCGTTTTTATCAAGCATGACAGCAGGTACAGTGTTGTCTTCTACGGTGAACGAAGGGCGGCAATGATAGACATATTTCCATAATTTACCTTTAGCTCGTGCAGTCACTCGTGTTCCCATAAACTGCTGAAAACGAATGTGCCCCACTCTCCCCTACTAGCAGCGAGAAAAGAACTTCAGTTTCTGTTTCACCGAGACGATTTCGTCCTAGTACTGAAAGGCGAGGTAAGGGCCGGGGTGATAGATTCCTTACACACGTGTTGAAAGAAAATGATGGCGGAGGACCTCTGAGTTCGTGTTTCTTCATCACTCTTCGGGTAGATGAGCCAATGCTCAGGCAGAGACCAGCTCAGACAATACTCTGCACCGCCGGTGGCGGAGGGAGCAGCCGGCCCGCTCCGCCCGCCAACTTCGGTCGGCGCCGAACTTATCTCGCCAGAGGTCTATTTGGACGTGCGCCGCTGTGTGCCGGCCCCCGGGGACCGCCGCTGTGCCGGGCCGACAGGGACTCCGAAGGACCGCCGCGGACTGTGCTGGTCCGTGAGTGGATGGGCCGGCTGAGCTTCGGGACAGGAATGGCTGAGACCACTCCACCGCAGGCTAGAGCGAGCGAGGAACGACTGCGTCATAGTCTTAGGATGCGTGCCGTCCTTTTGTCGGTGGGATGTGGAAAAATGGCTGCCCAAAGTTGTCCATGATGTGTGCTGCTGGCAGGCAGAATTCCAGCGAATAGTCACCACATGACTCGTGGAGTGACCTGGAGTGCCGTCGGGGAACCTAGTTCATAGTTCAGACGGAGATCTATTAGCCCTAGATCTACTAGCGCCTGCCTCCTCAACAGTCGGCGGGTGCGACCGCCGGGTGTGGTGATACTCGGCAGTCTCAGGCGGAACGAAGGCTGAAATAGAGCTCATTATCCAGTAGTTCAGGAGAGTGATGAAACCTCGAGAACTGTTCCGCGAAGGGAGGAGGCTGGAGGTGGTATGCCGCGGGCTGGTGTGGATAACTCTGGACGGATTCAGGAACACGGGCCGCGCCGCGGCGGGCCCCGGGCCGGGAGGTTCGCCCGGGGCGCGGCGGTCGGTCAGACGGGAACTCGCCGCCAGCCGTGGTCAATACAGAGTACAGACGGATGCAGCGGTGCCGGACTCTGCATCGTGACGGCGCGTGCCGCCCGGCAGTGCCGTGAGATTAACTAGCCCACTCTCAGCCGCACCAGCGAGTCGCTTCCTTCCGCTCCAGGCCCGAACACACTCGACCACGGTTGCTAGTGGATTCAGGAGGATAGGGCATTGAAATGCTGGGCCCGTGGATGTGCCGCTGTTTCGTTATTCGTTAACGCTGTCGTGTTAGGTCAGCCGGCAGTCAGTGTGGAGTGCAGCCGTGTACGGGAAGGCGGAGCGCTTTCAGAGGGCCGCCCACAGCACCGTTTCGGAGCTGGCAATACCGGTCGGCCGGACCTGCGGCGCTGGCCGAGTGGGACGATTGCCTGATCTCACCGCGGCCGATCAATATCTCCGGGCCGGTGTGCTGAGCCGTCACCTTCCACTTTCCGCGAAATATATCGAAATTATAGCCTCTGGCGGTGTTCTCTGGCGCGTTGCTGTCCGCCGCCGACGGTAACTCGACTGGACGGCAGACGGGTGTGGGATGGACCGGCCGCCGCTCGGCTGTAATAATGTGCTCCTGGCCAGTATACAGTCCCGGCTCTACGGGTGACCTCCGTGGGCGTCCGTCCGTCCCCGCCAGAGAGACTTGTAGTCGATACGGCCGCCCGTGATCGCAGACGGGTGGTGCGCTCAGCAGGCATGGGCCGTGAGAGTGGCCGCCGACTGCCTGGGAGGCGCCACGTGGCGGCAGCTATTCCTGACTGACCTGACCTGCCGACCGGGCCACGTGACAGCCGGCCACTCCGGGCTGACCTGACCTGCCGACCGTGACAGCCGGCCACTCCGGGCTGACCTGACCTGGCGACCGGGCCACGTGACAGCCGGCCACTCGGGGCTGACCTGACCCGCCGACTGCATTGGCGGCCGCCGTTAGGAGAAGCCGTGGTCGCCGGTGGCAGTTGGGTGGTGACAGCGCTGCTGACTGGTTTTGGTATTATTTTATGGACGGCGACAGAATGGCGCCCGTTTTAGGTAACCAGATAGGCGTTGGGGTTGATTGCATGCTCATCAAGACTAGAGGAATGCTACTTCATGGAATAATGTTCACAAGCACTGCTTAGCGAGGCACCCGAGCCTACGTCCATTCATCTATTCCGACAAAATGTTAATAATAAAAATATCGATGGAAGGGTGACTGACCACTTCTGTGACCCTCCCCCCCCCCCTCATCCCCCTCCCCCACACACACACATACAGAAAGCCAACCTCGTGGCACGTCTCGATGAATAGGACGTCCTCTCTGCCTACTCTTCAGGACGTCATCTGTGTGCGCTGCGTCTCGGCGGCGCCCCTTATCACGTCTGTGGACCCTATTGACGTTACATAACCTCGTTACGCACTGCTGGCCGACCCGAGTCGACAAAAACAGCCGCGCTGGCGCCCACAGAGACGCTGTCTCGGCGCCGACCGGGGCGGGCGGCACCCGGCCGGTCACTGCGCAGGTCACGGGCTCAGCAGGAGCCGCCCGATCGACGTCAGTCGCCCGAGTGAACGATTTCGAGTGTTGATCCAACGGCCTTCTACAGTGTGGCTGGTACAGCCCTGTCTGGTGACACGAGCTCGATTGGACAGTCGGACTCTCCCTGTCCTTGTTCGGTCTCTGATCCACTGCAGTAGGGCTGGGGTCAGCCCTGTCTGGTAACACGGGCTCGATTGGACGGGCGGACTCTCCCTGTCCCCGTTCGAATCCTGATCCACTCCTTTAGGGTTGGGTCAGCCAGCCCTGCCTGGTGACACGGGCTCGATTGGACGGGTGGTGTCTCCCTGTCCTTGTTCGGTCTCTGATCCACTGCTGTAGGGTTGGGGTCAGCCCGTGTCTGCTGACACGGGCTCGATTGGACGGGTGGTCTCTCCCTGTCCGCACTCTGTGGCGCCGCCGGCCGTCGGGTGACGGCCGGCTGTCGCCCAGTATTGGCCACTGTCGCCCGGTATTGGTCACTGTCGCCCGGTATTGGCCTCTGGGCCGGTGAAGTGTCGACTCGTGTGATCGGGACCCGGTGTCCGCTGTGGGACAGTGCCCGCTGTGGGACAGTGCCCGCTGTGGGATAGTGTCCGCTGTGGGACAGTGTCCGCTGAAAGACTTCTTCACGGGGAGGAGCTGCGGCCTTAGGAACAGCGGGTACCGCGGCGCCGGGTTATGTAACGCCGTGTCCCGGCGGTCGGCCGATGGTCTGTAATTATACAGCTCGTCGGCAAAGGTGGCGTATTTATGTGTGTAATTACCAGCGCTCGGCAACTAACGGTCGTTCTTCGGTTCGATTAATACCGACCATGCTAAATAAACGCTGAAATGTGGTGTATCATGGGTGTCCTGACGTCATGGATTATTGGCGGAACAGCGGTATAAGCTATAATTTCGGTCGCATTTTCTAGATTTTTAGCAATTATCTCCGTCGCTGACAGCATGGAACTCAGCTTAATGGTTTCTGGATGCATTGTTTCTCGGATGTTTCATTAATCGACTCGTTTGGCTGTGCGGTCGTGCTTCATGCTCGTTGCGTTTTTCACTTTCGCTTGCACGTTCCGGAAAAGTCGTCAGATTTAATATTAGGTCAACAGTTATGCCTTCAGAGCAACAGAAGACAAAAAAAAAATGACAGGTTTAATGTTGTATCAAAATATCCATCAAGCAGAGAGGCTTTATTTCGCGTCAGGCTTAGCTGATTTCTTGTTGCATCGCCTATTTCTGATGATTTTCAAACATCAGCACAGAGAGATTGAACTCGCCTACGGTATTTTCCGACGACGCTGTTCCTTTGACGGGATGTCGGCCGTCCCCGCGGCCTGGAACCACCGTGCGCCGGGGCGGCAGTGGTATCGCCGAGTCGCCGAGCCGCCGTCCCAGTTTTGATAGCGAATAGGCGCTGTTTCTGGCGCTGTCGTCGGTCGTTCCGCCCGTACTGCTCCCACGCTTTTGATGCTTCTGTTTCAGAGTTCGACAGTTTGGAATGATGAATGATGCTGGTAGTGGTTCGAACAAGGCTAAATGTCTGTCTGAAAGGCAGCTATGTGCTGGCAACTCATAGAGTAATAACAGTTTATGCTCCAATAGCGGCAAAGATGACCGCTGTCAACCCAAATAATCCCCATTGATAAACGCTTTGAGCTCTTTTCGTCTCTCCCAGCTCTCCCTGTCTCTCCCCGTCTCTCCGCCGTTTTTCCCTGCCGGTTTTCCCCAGATCTCCCCGCCGTTTTTCCCTGTCTCTCCCCGTCTCTCCGCCGTTTTTCCCCAGCTCTCCCCGCCGGCTCTCCCCGTCTCTCCCCGTCTCTCCGCCGTTTTTCCCCCGCCCTCCCCGCCGGCTCTCCCCGCCCCTCTCCGGTCCTCCCCACCGCCGGCCGGTATGCTGGGAGCCCCTCAGTGTCCGACGGCCCGGCCTATTTGTCATCCGCCCCGCTCAGAATCAAAAGTCGTGCCGACGCACGGACAGAATACTGTTACTTTATTTTCAGCTTGAAATGACCCGCATTCATGCATGCGTTTTGTCTGCGCTGTTTCGCCAGAGTTCTAAACGGAAAGTGCGGCGAGTGAATGCGGCGAAAAACGTACTTGAAAACATTTCAGAATGTCCATGCAAACAACATATACGGTTGTCTACGTCCTTCATTTTTAGCCTCAACTCAAATCCGTTTGTGGATTTTTTTTCATTTGACGAACTCGGTGTGTGTGTGGAGTTTCATTGCCGATCATGAGCTCGGGTACACTTGTTTTATATTAATCCAGCAGAGATACGTGACGCATCACATCGCTCCTGTCGCCTCGGATGCTTTTTAGAGGGTGTGATGAGTTGATTCCTGGTTAGTTTGGAAGCGACCGGAGCCCGGCTGCAGAGGCCGCTTAGCATGCAGCGCGACCGGGTGTCATGCATCCTGAAGCGGCCGAAATGAGGCGGATGTGGCCGACGGGAGCTGCCGACTCGGCCGGGACCGGCCGGGCGCTGCGGCGCTGGCACTGCCGGATAATTCCCCGCCCGGCTTCATCATATCAGCCCGCCTCGCCTAGTATGCCATCCGGCCCCTGCAAAAGTTCCCGGCACTGCCCGAAAGTGTGCGGTGACATTTAAAGGCATGACCAAAAGTCTGATACGGAGACCGTATAATATCTCCATGCTCCATCGAATTCCCGTAACATTTAATATTGAAGGGCATATTTGCGAACTTTTGGACACTGGCAATCTGCCTTAAGTATGACAAGCTGTCCGAATTTTCTCGTCCAACCCATTTGCATTGTTTTTTTTTCTGCAGACTGTGTTTTCCTGGTGGCCTGGACCGACAACATTAGGCCATTTGCATTTTGAAAGCTTCTTTAAATGCAGACGAGGTGGTAGGGTGTTGCTCCTTAGCCGGTATTGCCGTCAGCGGCTGCTGCGGCTCACAGCATGGTACTCGGGCAGACAGAGTGTTAGACAGACTCCCTGTGTGACCGGCGCCTGGCGATCGGCTGCAGCCAGTGTCGTACATACAGAACTACAGGGTGCCTGGGACGTGTAACTTGCACTGCGACTGGGGGTGTAACGTCTGTGAGTTCACCCGCACAGTACCTACCGTGGGGCGCACCTGCGCTCAGCAGGCCGTCCAACTAGCTCGCACAAAATGAATCGTCGCGTGCTTCATTTCCTTCCCCAGATTTTCTCATGCTTGTCTGACCGTTCTCCACCCATTACCGTCCCACCGACACTAATGCCTGCATTTACATCTGCCCGGCGTCCCAGCCGACTGACGGAGCTGGGACACACTAACACCCCGGCCCGTCCCGCTCGTCTGCAGGTTCGCCACCAAGACGGGCCGCAAGGTGGGGCGCGCGTTCAGCTTCAAGCAGACTCCCAACAAGCTGCGCCGCGCCGTGTCGACCGTCATCAGCCCGTTCCAGGGCGGCACGCCGTCCGGGCCCATGTCCGAGATGAGGATGGCCTCCTCCTCCAACCTGAGGGTAAGTGGGAGTGGGGTGATGGGCTGGTGCTCCTGAGCTGAGGGGAGCATCTCAGTTCTCCGGTTGGGGAGGTGAGAATCCCTTCCAACCCAGTCAGAATCGAGTGGGGGACAGAGAGGGTCCGTAGATTGAACAGTTGATGTGAAGCGGCTCTGGATGTGCCGCAATGTCAGGTCAGGCGGCTAGATGGGCTTCGGTAGTTCTAGAGTCGCCAAGTTACCTTTCAATAAGCTCCGACCGAGGAAGGGGAGGACACGTTGGTCCGGCTTGGAGCGGCGGCCCCAGTTGGCTCCCGGTAGGCGTGGCCCGCCACTTGCCGGGACTGAGGATGGGAGGATTCAGCCACCGGCCATATCCCTTGCTGTGAGTAGTGCCCTGAGTTTGCTGAGCCCCGTTTCCCGGATGTTGGATGCCGGTGTTCATGAATACTTGGCTGGCGCAGATCCCGGAAACTCCCGTCAGCCGCGGTGGAAATTCGGGAACTTTGCTACGCCCCCGGATTACAGTTGCTGCGAGTGGTCGTTTGCGGTACCGGACACCGCTTTCGTGTAGTTTGGAGGTCCCCCGACATGCGTCATTCCCAACCAATGTCCACCAGGTCGGGTCGGGTCGATTGTCGGCACTTTCGGAAAGTGGACGGAACAGCGAACCGCAGTGATGTGCTTTGAAATGAGGAGAGTCCAGCAATTACTGCTAGTTGATGAGTGCGTTAGGCTGTCAGCCTACTCGTAATGCTGAGACGCTTTGTGCAGTACAGCCTTGAAAATGTTGATGTTCTACAGCCAGAAGTGTAAGCATCTAACGGGAGTTTCTATTGACCCGCGGCGAAATTCGTTCGCACTCAAGCGCCGTGTCCCATCTTCTTTGTAGAAATGACGTTTTTACCATAAGGGTCATTTCTGTTCAGTGCACCTCATCTCTGCCGATCGACTCGTTAAAAGGCAATTTTGCGTGGAAATTCGCTCCACTTTACCGGACTTAATACTTAATCACGCCTCGTGATGTGTTCAGGTGTCATTTTCGCCAACTTTTCTCCCGGGCGGCCCCTTTGGTGATGTGGGCTGCTGCGGCCGCCGGCTCCAATCGGTAATGGTAACCGTTAACAGCTCCGACGATAGTTAGATGGCTATGACGCCTTTGGCTCGGCATATGTCATCAGACCAAACTTATCTGATTATTTTCGGTGCCAGCTCAACCGTATAGGAGTTTCCGATCGGGTGGCACTGGTGGAAACAGTGACAATTTCAAGTTCAATTAGCCAATGCACAATCATTGCACGTCTAAGTCTTGCGTTATCATCGTTTATTGTCCACTCGTGGGTCTTAGCCCAGCGTGCTGGCCTCAGTCATAGATGGTGCATTTCATGCTGCTTATTCTATAGGACTTATTTTTTATCGTTCAATTCCACCACAATTGGGCTCATCCAAAATATAATTGTTGTACGTGATATTCACCGATTCTCTTCTGCTGCTGGCTCGTTTGAGATCCTGGACGATGTGTCCATTCTCTGCACTTGTCATTAGAGTAACTCCGACGGCGGCTTTAAATAGGTGTTCTGCGGCTGTGGTGATATACCGGGCGCGGGCGTCTCTTGTCGCGATGCACGCCGCCGCCCCCGCCCGTGGCCGGCGCTGCGGTCCGGCACCGGCCGTGGACCTAATCTCGGCCGGCACAACTTGCGCCGAGCGTCCGGCGCGGCCGGCACTGCATTAAAGCTGCATCGGGCGGCCGGCCAGCGCGGCGCCAATGGCTCCCCTGTGACGAGCCGGCGCCGGCGGCCGGCGGCGACCGCTGACCTGCCGGTCCGGTCAGTGACCCGGCTGACCTGCTGCCCTGACACGACTGAGCTGTCTACGACCCCCGCCGGTGACCGGCCCGTTCCGCCGGCTTGGCAGTCGGTCGGTTAGGTTCTTACCCAGCTCCGAGCCTGTGGTGTCCTCTGCCACGGCCGCCGGACCTGCGGTAGGACACCCCGGCCCGGTCTGAGCTGACAGCAGCGGCGGGCGGGACCGGCCGCTCGATGTATGCATTGAAACTATGCAAATGGAGGGTGGCGCGGCGGCTTATCTTTGGAGCGCGGCGGCTGATGGGCGGGCCGGCGGCTCTGCCGGGCCGGACCGGACACGGAGCGACGCGGTCCGACGGGGAGTGGGAAGCCGGGCCGGGCCTCTGTAACCGGGCGGCGGGCTCCTCAGCCCGACAGCCCACACACCCACCGAACTGCCGGACGGCGCGGCGCGGCGCTGCGGTGACTGGACCGGGCCCTGCGGCTGTGCCGCAGGGCCCGGCTGTGGCGCGGAACAGCCTACCACCTCTCGCTGACTGTGAATGTGGAGACGAGTGGGAACGGCAGGCGCCTGCAACTTCAGAGGCGTTTATTTGAAAAGGCCTATAGCGGTTTCTGCGTTTGTTATCGAACGTATTGTAGCTTGTATGATTTATTAGTTATGATGGAACATTTGTTTTTATACGATAGTTTTAAGACGATGGTGGTGGTAGTTATTTTTCTGTCGCAATGCTATTTTCTTTGGAAGCCTTTTATCTTTATCTTTATATCTTTATCTTTATCTTTATTGTTCCTTGCTTTCTTCCTGGCACTGATTCACGCTGTCTGCATTTGGCTCGGATTATTTGGACGTCTAGTTTGTTCGCCAAATTTATCAAAAAAAAAATGATAATAATAATAAAGTTGGAGTTGGTCGTCGCGTCCAGTGCCCGAAGCGACAGCTGATGCTTAGGGATGCGGGGTGGTAGGTGTGCTGTCCGATCCATCTGGTCGGGTTATAGTACCAACGCCTCCTTCACGGAGGGTGATCGGCCGCGGCATCTCGGCATGGGTCAACCATAGGAGTGTTGGCGGCCCCTCCACACAGGGTGATCAGGAGCGGCGCCTCGGCGGTTCCCGTTTGAATTCTGACCGGTCCGCCGTTTTGTATTGAGTCGGATGCCTGGCGACTGGTGGATGGCTCAGGACACTCGACTGTGGTGCTGCAGTACTGGTACACGACCTGTCCCGGCCGGCGCTCCTTTCCTCTCCGACTGAGACGCCGTGGGTCAGGGCCTTGGGACTTGGGAGCCCAGTTCCGAGCGGGTGGAGTTCCACGGCGTGATATGGCATGTCCGCGGGATCGGATGAGGGGTGGGAGACACGCTCAACAGCCCCGGCCCTGAAGGTAAGACGATAGTTGTTGGGACCCGCCGCTATGCTGCAGGGGCATTCCACGTCAAATCAAACACCGAAATCCGTCATCCCCTTCGATTTTTCTGAAAATTTGTAGGCAGACTGGGCATGGTTCAAAACTGAGTTACGTATAATATTTCCGAAATTTGATAAAGTATCGCTGAGATATATGTCATCGAATATAGCCAAAAATGCCACACATCAATTTTTTAAATGTCTATAACTCTGGTTCCTTTTCTGGTATCAAAATGATATTAACAGGGTCTTGTAGGCAATTGATAAGGCTTTGATTTTTAATTATAAAATTAACTTGAAGTGACCTTGAAATGCATTTGACCTTGAATTAAAACATAAAATTTAAATAGCAAAAAACACGTCACCTTCGATTCGGGTAATTTATACATATTATGTCCGTCACAATGTTCCTAACCATCTGTGAAAAAATTGGAGTGGGCCATTCATAACTCTCGCGGCAAACGCCGTTTTCATGCATCAACATCACGCAACCGCGCGTGACCTTGAAAGACAGAGTCAAGACATGCTTGCTTGTGTACACTTTCTGAAATGAATGATTGCTGATTAGTGATATCCCAAACTCTGCGAGAATGGAAATACATAGTCATCGTAGTCAAGCATTCAAGTTCCATAGTAAAAGTGTCTCAGGCAAACGGTATTTGGCGGTGAATTTTGAGCCGTGTGGAAATGCATCATGAAGCCAAAAATTCAACGAAAACATTATCACGCAACGATATCTTCACGTCTTTTTATCTTCACTATACGAAAGAATATACATTTTTGAGTATGTATGGGGAATTTCTAGTTAATCCAATAATAAATATGGCAGTTAGAGACCTGCTTAAGAGTAACATGTCGCCGGCTGAGGCGGGATCGGCCGACGCGGGAAACGCAGCAATCACAATTTTGTGTTTACACGTTCATATTTCAATTGTTTACCAATTGATTTTCAAAATTCTTACACCATAAGATTGCCTGTACATTTCTTAGTCTTCTCACAAAATTTGACGCGAATCGAACGTAATCAGCGGTAAGGAGCGCGATGTAAAGACGGAACCGTTCCGTTCCGTCCCGGCACAGTCTACAATTCAGGCGGCGGCTAGCGGTCGGCGCCGGCTGCCGAGTCGCCGCGTCGCACTATGGTTGGAAACGGCCTCACGGATGGCCGTGGGCAATTTCGGAATATATGTATATTTGGGGTGTCATTCTGTTGGAAATTGATGAAATGTTTTGAATTGGGCAGAAAAAATTATTTCGTTGCGCATTTAGTCTCCATTATCGTACGTGGAATCGGGAGTTTCTGATAGTGGCTTTTTTGGTGCGCCGTCAAAGGTTTAAACAACCGCGCTGGTGATAGCATGTTGAGTACCTCCATGACGTTGTAAAACTGGATTATTATATATCAAAATAATCCTTGTTATGTTTGCTATCGAGTGGAGTGACTCTTTTTCCCATGCGTGTTCAAAATCAGGAACGGCATTGCATTCTGTTTGCAGTGTCACCACAGCAATATTTGCAAAATTACGTTTATGTTTCATTGGACATACAAAAAGTTCTCCATCGACCTCCATTGAGCTTTTTGGCAGAATAAATCTCTGTTCAATTCTGCGTAAGGGGAACGTAAAAGCAGACTGCGCACTTGTGCGCAAAATCGTCGGTGAAGCTTCATCTCCCGAGGCGTACCTACCCGTCGCTTCGTTAGCACCAGGTCGGCTCGTCAGTCTTGCAATCGCTTATCCTAATAAATGATGGTAAGAAGCAGGGTTGCGGAGTCGTGGTGGCGCCAAATCCGACTCCGACTACGACTCCGACTCCTGACTCGTTGCCATGACTCCGGCCGACTCTGTCTCCGACTCCGGACCCCTGCCAGTGTTTCGGAGTCGTGATGGAGCTGTTCCGATTCGGACCGACTCCGACTTCCACTGCGGGCTCCTGACCGACCCCGACTCCGACTCCGACTCCTGGCTCGTTGCCACGACTCTGGGCGACTCTGACTCCGACTCCGACTCTGACTCCGACTCTGACTTCGACTCCGCTCCCCTCGTAAGAAGTAACTGCTCGCCCCTGCACCTGGAGTATGGATATCGTGCAAACGTGTATGGATATCCTGGAGTATGGATATGGATATCCACCGACAGAGCAGACATACAGACATGCTGTAAACGCCATTACACTGCCAATACCATGGCAAATCAAATGGCTATCTATGGCTTTTGATCATCGTTCTACATTTTCCAAAATCTTGAACTGAATGTTGGCAATTTCTCGTGACTACTTCACGACCATGATGCATGCATTTCTGAAATTGATCTTTTTTCAACCAGCCACGTACTCGTATGATAAAATGAATGTCACCATCGTGTTCTACGCCCAAAAGTACCCATAAAACATGTGTCATGCATGGGCTGCGAATAGGTACCAGTTTTAATTTTCGGGGTTATGTGCTTACCTGATTGACCTGACTTTGACCCTGGCCAGTGGCCTATGTTTGACTGACCCCTACATTGATCTGACACTCTTTTAGCACTTATATGAAGGGTTTTGACAGTTGTGACAGTTGTGACAGATTGTTTAGGACCAACTGTTGACTGAATTTATTTAGGACCAACTGATGACGATATAATCGAAACGCGAAACGCGAGGCACCGATTGCGAGGTTCTAAAGTCCATGCTACTGAAAGCCCGATTTCAAGTATTTGACCTGATCTTGACCCGACCTGTGACCTCGAAATTCAACTTTAAAGTATTCATGTGAATCGTCTCGTCGTGTTCTTCTTTCGTTTGCCGCGCCTCGTGCGTTTCGCTGCGCCTATTTGTTCGCGAGTTATCGGCTGGGGGCGTTGAACGCCCCCCCCCCCCCCCGGCAAACGGCGGATGGGGAAATACCCCAGCAACTGCCGGGTTAATCTGACGCATGTTTTGTCATTTGATCGTCATTTTATTTCTTACTTTTTTGCCCAATCTAAAAAAAAAAATCATGAATACTCTTTCTCCAAATTTTTGACCCTTTATGACCAATAGTAAGACACTGTGCGTCACTACGTTGATATTTCTCGCCAGAAAGCATAACAACAATATCCATTCAGTAAAAGCAGTATTCAAAACATGTTCAAAATGCCTCGCGATATCGATAACATAAGGAAAGACATAGGCGACTTATAACATGCTTGCAATGATGACGTCACACATGCGTGACGTGACGTGACCTCGTCATTTCTGAGTTACTGTATGATGCACGAAGGACACTGGTATACCTATGCAAAGTTTCATCGCAGTCGGTCTACGCATTAACAAGTTATGGGCAAAACATTTTTTCGCGTTGACCCCCGGCCATCCGTGAGGCCGTTTCCAACCATAGTGCGTCGCCGCGGCGACAGGATGTTCACTTTACACCGCTATTACTAGACCAGTTGTGAACCGATTTTCTTCTTGCTTGCACGATGAGATGTGCAATTCAATTTTGGACAGGTAGCTTAATTAATTCCGCATTAATACTATGAGATATTGGCGAAAAACAGGAGGGGTGGGGCGAAATTCACTCTTCCCCCTCCACTGCGCGTGCTAACATACGTTTGCATATGTGCCATTTTCTTCAAAACTTATGAATGGCCCACTCTAATTTTTTCACAGGTTGTTAAGAATATGGTAGGCAATAAAATATATGAAAATTAGCCAAATCGAAGGTGACGTGTTTTTTGCTATTTCAATTTTTGTGCTTAAGAACAGAGTTAAGCAAATTTCAAGGTCATATATTTAAGTAGGTGCAATTCTAAACAAATGCTTAAGAAATTACCTAAACAGTAAGGCTTATTTCATTCAAATCAAACAAGTACAACCAAAGTTATGGTCGTTCAAAAATATACCTAAAGATGCAACATTTTGTGAAAATTCGATGCCCTATATTTAGAAGACCTGTGGTCAGAATGTGCAAAAAACATCAATGTAATGTTCGGGGCGACACAGGAACTCGCTCACAAATTTATAATGAAATCGCTGATGGTAAGGTGCAAAACAGCCGATTTTTGTTCGATTTGACGTGGAATGCCCCTGCAGTGCTCTGTAGTGCTAGTGACGCCAGTTACAGATGCTCCGCTATACCGTAGAAAACTCCGTAGCGCGGATCAGAGTGCTGCGTGCTGTCCTGATACCGTGTTTGCTTACATTGTGGTGCATAATTACCGGACGGGCTCAGCTGCCCGTCAGATATATCTCGCTTCACCTTATCTTTCCTTCTTTCTTCGAGCTCTCCCCATCCCTTTTTCATTTCTCCCCCCCCCCCCCCTGTATCCTGTAGTTATCACTCGTCATTAGGGGAAGTTGGGGCAATGCCGGAGTTGGGGCAAAGCCGAAATTCGAGATATTTCGAAAACCGTAAGACATGGATGCCACCTGTCAGTGATGCTTTGAAGCTTAAGTGACTACAATTATGGCATGTTTGTTACGAGTCGTCATTCGGAATACTTCGGCTGTGAGGGCGCCAAGAGCGTTTTCAAGGTACGTTTCCCTTGTACTACACGTGCCTTTGAAGCTGTATTTCTTACTCATTATGCTACCGTTTGTCTGGCCAATTCGGTCAAGTAATCTTTAGCATGTCTTTGCATAAGTGTGCTGCCTATTTGAAATTTATACAGCACGTTGAAAAGTTATGGGCCTGCAAATGAAAGTATGGCTGGCTGGGGTAATGCCGAAAACGTGCGATTACGCACGTGTTAAAAGCACGCTACGTGGACTTTACTGCTGTAGAATAGCAACGCGTATTTTTAGTCACACAAATTACACTTTCAACCGACACAACGGCCTGTTACCTATAAGGAATGATTTACCTGGCATTTTCTTATTATATCACACAATTATAACTTCCAGTGTGCACCGCGTCCTCAAGCTCTTAAAACGCGTGTCATGGATAAAGTTTGAGATAAAATGGCAAAACATCAATGTCGGCATTCCCCGTAGATCATTTATCCCATTTTCGGCTTTCCCCGCAGTCCGGGGCAACGCCGAAAAAGTCACTTCTTTGATATTTTTAGTTTGTGCGCTTAACGGTATGCGAATTCATCAAATGCGCCTGGTATGTTTGAAAGGCAAAAGACTGACCTCTCGAATGACGCCAACAAGAATAGCTTATGTTGTCTACCTTGCGTGCTACGGGCGTCAGAAAAAAAGTATTCGGCGTTCCCCCAACTTCCCCTACTTTTCGTTTTCCTTTATCTTTCCGACTGAACATTCTGTTCTGGGAAGTATCTACCTTCTTACTGTATAGTTGCAGGCTTGCATATGCTAGCTGTCGGAAAGTGTATCCCGTATGAAGCTGGCTAGTGTTGCTGCCTCTGCGGCCCAGGCTAGTGTTAGTGCGGCTGCCGCAGCGGCCGGTAGTGCCGCGCCCGTAGCCCAGTGTCTGAGCCGGTAGTGTGTAGTGTAGCGCGCCGCCAGTCTGACCTGTAGCCGGGCGCGATCCGTGTGTCTTACAGCGTCTGATCCACCAGTCGTCAGCGGCGCTGCTGCCCTCGCCGTCCCGGCCGCCGCCGGCGCCGCTACCCAGCGTGAGTGACGCGGCAAATACTCAGCCAGCTGGCTCTCAGCGCGTACTCTGACTCTCTTATACTCACTTATTTCTTATACTCTGTCCTTTTCTATCTCTTCTTGTCTGTCTAGCTCTTATCGCTCCCTACTCAGGTCATCTACTCTCTCTCTCTCTCTCTCTCTCTCTCTCTCTCTCTCTCTCTCTCTCTCTCTCTCTCTCTCTCTCTCTCTCTCTCTCTCTCTCTCTCTCTCTCTCTCTCTCTCTCTCTCTCTCTCTCTCTCTCTCTCTCTCTCTCTCTCTCTCTCTCTCCTCTCTCTCTCTCTCTCTCTCTCTCTCTCTCTCTCTCTCTCTCTCTCTCTCTCTCTCTCTCTCTCTCTCTCTCTCTCTCTCTCTCTCTCTCTCTCTCTCTCTCTCTCTCTCTCTCTCTCTCTCTCTCTCTCTCTCTCTCTCTCTCTCTCTCTCTCTCTCTCTCTCTCTCTCTCTCTCTCTCTCTCTCTCTCTCTCTCTCTCTCTCTCTCTCTCTCTCTCTCTCTCTCTCTCTCTCTCTCTCTCTCTCTCTCTCTCTCTCTCTCTCTCTCTCTCCTCTCTCTCTCTCTCTCTCTCTCTCTCTCTCTCTCTCTCTCTCTCTCTCTCTCTCTCTCTCTCTCTCTCTCTCTCTCTCTCTCTCTCTCTCTCTCTCTCTCTCTCTCTCTCTCTCCTCTCTCTCTCTCTCTCTCTCTCTCTCTCTCTCTCTCTCTCTCTCTCTCTCTCTCTCTCTCTCTCTCTCTCTCTCTCTCTCTCTCTCTCTCTCTCTCTCTCTCTCTCTCTCTCTCTCTCTCTCTCTCTCTCTCTCTCTCTCTCTCTCTCTCTCTCTCTCTCTCTCCTCTCTCTCTCTCTCTCTCTCTCTCTCTCTCTCTCTCTCTCTCTCTCTCTCTCTCTCTCTCTCTCTCTCTCTCTCTCTCTCTCTCTCTCTCTCTCTCGTAGCATGGCCGCATGGCGCCAGCATGTCGCCCCGGGCGCGTCCCCCGTGCCCCCTCCCTCCCCCTCCCCGACCGACTACCGTGCCGACGGCAGCAGTGGGATGAAAGTGACCAGTCCCGGCGGCCCGCTAGTGGTCTGTTCGAGTGTGGCCTTAGGCCTATTTTATCTGTGTTAGGTGTTCAGTAGAACCTTGAACGCTTCTCTCTATACATGTGCGCAAGAGTGTCGGTATTTTGCGTCGACTCGAGCCCGCGTGCATCCTTGTGTGCCGTGTACCGCGTGCTGCCACCAATCTGACGAGACGTTCTCTCGTTTCAGTAGCTAGAGGCTAGCGCGTGCTCAGAAAGTGTCCAGTAAGTGCGCACTGTGCATGTGATCGGCGCCGGGGTACGTGGGTGGCATGTGGTCCGTTTGGGCGGTGGTGTCCTGTGCAGAGGGTCGCATGTGGTCCCGGCGGGCGGTGTTGGGTGGAGAGTGGGCGTTCGACCAGCTGTCTCGGTCCCAATGGGACTCGTTTGGTGACTAACTGCCGCCTGCCGCTCCCCGCTCAGGCTCCTTTTTTCGTCCGTCTCCATTCCTCCGTCCTGAGCGAGAGTCGAGCGGGCTCTACCCACAGTTGGCACACAAACAGGACGGCGGCCGACCCACTTTGTACCCCGGACGGGAGTCGGCCGGCCGGCGCCGCTCCTATTCTCCTCCCACCGACAGTGCTGTCCAGAGGGTTAGAACGTCCGTCCAGACCGAGCAAACGATCTCTCCTCTCCACCGTCCACCTCGCCTTTCCTTACCACTGTCCACCGTGGACAGAATCCACCCCCACTCGTCCACCGCTGGCCGTCCTACCCACCGTCCACCGTCCAGCGAGGTCGTCCACTCCACTCACCGTCCACCGTGGACAGCTTGTCCACCGTCCTACCCAGCCCAGCGTCCACCGAGGTCATCCGGAATTCGGCGCCCGTCGCGCTCGGTTCTTCGGCTGGCGAGCCGGGCCGTCGAGACGGCCAGCGCTTTTTGTGCGTGTTGGCGACTGTTTGTGCGCGATGGATGGCGCCGGACGGGCCTCCGCCGGACGGGCCTCCGTCGGACGGGCCCGCCCCCGCGGTCTGCTCGGGAGGTGGATCAACCGGCCGAGCGGTTTGAGAGCGGGCGCTTTGGAGAGGCGCGGCAGGGATGCTTCTGTTGCCGCTGATTTCCATTGTGGTGCGGTGGTTGGCTTGGGAACTGACCAAGAAGCTGCCTTCGAATGGCTTAACGTTTTTATTGCGAAAAGTTTGCTTTCTTGAATCGACAATCATTAATATGGGTTGATTTTGCGGCTATGATCTTTAAACAGTACCTTGGAGAGTCCTCGCAATGATGCTTGAATTAAGATCGTAGGATAGCGATTATGTAGATAGGGGTTAGAGCTAACCAGTCTTGTAGGACATAATTTATAGCATGCACTTACCCAAATATAATGCTCAACTAACTACAATAGTTAGAATGTCAATATGCCTAACTTGTACTACGTATTCATATGTGTAATACCAAAATAGTGACCCTTGATGAGCCTTAGCTCATCTGCTCCATTTTCCAATTTCCGCGGCCTCCCTCTCCATACCGCTCCCATACAAACGATCCTCTGAGCCGCTCACCACATCTCGCAGAACCAATGTAATCAACGCCCTCCGAAATCCAGTCGTCAGCTGCTCGGCTATCGTATTTGTGTTCCTGTTGCCAGTAAGTCATTTCCGATGTATTTACATCATTTGACGAACATAAGGCGCGATTTGCAGAGGCTGATGTAACTAGTAAGCTCCCAAGATCTTGCATCAGCCGTTTGGATGTTGTTTTGTGATACGATAGTTTTTCGTCTAGTACCATGTTTAGAGAGTAATATTCAGGTGGTAATCGGTGAGCATTTTTGGCCCGCTGGCTCGTTGCAAGCCGTGTGCACTTTCCACCTCGGTGCCCTGTTCTGTGGCCCGCTGACCGCTGGTCCTGCCTTGTCCTGTGGTCCGCTGACCGCCGGTCCTGCCCTGTCCTGTTGTTGTTGTTTGCTCGATTTTATTGAATGTTTTCGCATAAATAGACATAAGGCAGTCTGGGATCGGTGCAAAAGCTATTCAGCTTATTTCATGGCACCTCTCCCTCACACACTCTAGCTCATTCACACGTCATTCATGACAAGAAAAAAAAACATCGGGTGCAACACAAATAATGATAAACCGAAGTTTTGATAATCGAATTAAAAGAAAAATACAATGAAAAATTAAGTACACTTAAAAGTATAAAATAATCGTTGGTATCAACTAAGTTACGCATAAACATAAGTAACTAAAGTAAAGCTGCCGCCTCTGAGGTAAGTTCACTGGCGAGTGGCGATGTCCGTAAGAAAGGGCCGCTGTCACCGCCGCGCGGCCACGCCGCCGCCAGCCGCCGCCGAAGTCCTGATGGTGAGGGATTTTTCAATGTAAATCTGGAAGCACTCGGCGACGCGCCGACCATCCTCTGCGCTAAGGGATTTGCCGTGGAAGAGGATGTCTAGTTTTTGTTCTGATGGAAGGTGTGTAAAGTTTTGAATTGTATCGGAGAGATCGGTGAATAAATTATCTCTCTCAACGACTCCTGTGGTCCTGTGGTTCCTGGTCCTGCCATGTCCTGTGGCCTGCTGACCGCCGGTCCTGCCCCGTCCTGTGGTCCTGTGGTTCCTGGTCCTGCCATGTCCTGTGGCCCGCTGACCGCCGGTCCTGCCCCGTCCTGTGGTCCTGTGGTTCCTGGTCCTGCCATGTCCTGTGGCCTGCTGACCGCCGGTCCTGCCATGTCCTGTGGCCCGCTGACCGCCGGTCCTGCCCCGTCCTGTGGTCCTGTGGTTCCTGGTCCTGCCATGTCCTGTGGCCCGCTGACCGCCGGTCCTGCCCTGTCCTGTGGCCGCCGACCTCGGATCCATCAGAGGCACCCGTCGACACCGGGCATAGCGCGTGTGCGCCGCGCCGGGCGAAAATAATTACCTCACCGGCTCCGCTATCTCCCACGCTCCCCCGTATCATCCCCTCCCCGCCCTCTCTTTCTCCTCTTTTCCTCTCTCCCACTCTCCCCTTGTCCTCCCCTCACCCTCTCGCTCTCCTCTATCTCTCTCACACGCACACACGCACACATATTCTCCTTCCTCGATCTCTCCCTCTCTACATCTATCTATCATGTATCTATTTCCCGCATATCCTTATTGTGTCTCTGTACCATATCGGAGTTGCTCGCTAGTCGCTCATATTTATTCTCCTCCAACCCTCACACTCTATCTTTCTCTTTTTCACACACCAGCTTTCTTTCTGTTTCTCTTGCTCGTCCACGCAAACGACGTCTATAATCATCTAGCATGACATGTAGGCAAAGCACCAGCAATGTAGCCGTGCACTTTGAATAGTTTACCAAATATCCACATTTGCAAAGGTCCTCAGTGGAGCATAGCTCAAGAAGTCTGTAGCAGCTATAATTTTTATTTCACATGTTCTTAGTTATGAGACAGTGCACCCAAGCAAAGGTCAGGGAAGCACTGTATATGAACCAAGCATGCTGAATGCAGCTTGTAGGAGGCATGTATTTGCCTGGTATGATAGAAGCAGCTTTGGACATTTACTCAATCTGTATTGAAATTGCGCTACATGCATTTTGAGTTATGAAGAAGGCTTACATATGTCTCGTTAGCTTTTAGGCATGCACCATTGCATATCGTCTCATTTGTTGCTTTGCTAATGGTTTGCGCTTATTCTTACGTTATCTTATTATAGTTATTTTTAGTCTTGTTAGATACGCTTCGCAGTAATTTAGCCCAGAAATAATGAAGCATTTCATTTCGCAGAAAAAAAAAATGCGGCTAGTGCATACTTGGCTGATGCGCCATTCGTCTAACCCTTTCTAACTTTATCCGGGGCGGCTCGCCAACCCTGACCACTAATCCGCCGGCCCACGGGCGGCCGTTGGTGGATTCCCCACCACCCGTGACGTCATCTCCCGCCTCCAGTGACGTCACACGCGTGTCTGTGTGCTGCCGGCAGGACGTCGACCCAGCGACGCCGCTCGCTGCGTTCAGCGGCGCCGCCACCATGCCCCACCCCCAGTCTACAACGCCTCTCTCATCTAAGAAGAAGTTTAAGGCAAGCTCGCTGGGGTATTCAGCGTCAAAGCTCCTGTAGCCGGCGCGGCAGTGACGGCGTACCGCCGCTGCCGGAGCGCAGCCTGCCGCGGCGGCTGGCGCGCGCGCTCAGTCTCACCGGCGTGCAGGGCTCGACGGCGCCCGGCTGACAGCGACACTTTGTGAGCACGCGCCCGTCCCGGTGCCGGGGCGGTCTGTACATACGGAGAGAGTGGGGCCGGCAGCAGCCAGCCGCCGGCCCGGAGCGTCTGTGTGCGTGTGTGCGTGACGGGCCTCTGAGGACCTCTGAGGCCCGTCGGGGTATTTATACTCGATTAAGTAACGGGACCACTGCTGCGTAGCGTGCCGACCGACCTGGCCCGCGGTGGGAGTGTTTTCTGTTGACCGCTGGCTGCGCGGGGCGGCTCCCTCGGCCGCAGTCGGGACGGCCGGCGGCCCGGCCCCGCTTAGTCACCCATCTATCAGCGCGCGTTTTCTGGGTATCAGCCATGACTCACTTCTTGTTGTCGATCTGTGTGAGTGCGTCGAGTGCCTGTGATCGAGCCGGGTTGCAGTGTGGTTGAACAGTGAGGCGCCCGGCGAGCCCGTGATAGGCTAGACGTGGCGTGCTGGTGCGAGTGTGCTGGCGAGAGATGTAGGTACTAATGGACGGAATTGTGAGATTATCCGGCTCGTGAGTGTGTGTGTGACTAGAAACTGCCCTCGCTTCGGGAATGATACTATTCATCATCTTCTGTTATACTCGTGTGTATCAAGCGCCTGCGCCAGTGATTCGCTGCATTTACGTCAAATCGCCAAGCTAGGTCCGTTCTAGGTTTTATACCGGTTGTCCTGTGAGGATCTGAATACATTAGTAGTGCTTTCTATTACTCCCTGTTTGTGATGTCAGTTCTGTAGCTGGGACACACAGTTGCAGCTAGTTCTGTAGATGGTTTACTGGGCGAGGGTTGTGCCAGGCGGGTGAACACCTGCGCACCACCTGACGCTGATGCAGCGGGGAGGGTCGGCAGTGCTGCGGCACACCTCGGCTCGGGTCGGGGATGGAGGAGTGGTGGTTCGAACCGCTCCGCACGCTCCACGCGCTGCCACTACAGTGGGCGATTAAATAGGTGGGGAGTCTGCAACAGGTTACTGGGATCAGAAATGTAGTTACAAAGTGTAGTGTCTTGACTCTTTGGGAACGAAACAACGATAATAACCATATTCACATTAGGCCTTTGGGACGAAGTTAGAATAAATTACCTGAGAGAAAATGACACCAGATGGTATTTCAACAAACGTGACGGTTGTCATACAGACCAGACCCGTTTCGCGATATTAGCGGCTTTTATCTGATATAACTGGCTAGTTCAGCTGGAGAGAGTGAGTCTGAATTTGGAGAGCAATCAAACACGTTCGGTTGGCAATTGATGACGGACCGGGAGGCAGTTGGTGCCGCCATCACCGACAGCTGGGGTGAAATTCCAAACAAACGTCTGCTGTCCCCTTTGATCCGACTGCCCACCTGGACATTTACATCGACTGATGGAGGCCGGGTACGATCCGTTTGTCGCGCTAATGGAACAGTCCGTTTCATGGCGGTCGTCAGCTCCCTTAGACGAGTCGCTGGGCATCCTGTCGGCCCAGGAGAACCGTAGGGGGACCTGGCCGACCTGTTGTGTCGCAATGTCACATTGCTGCGGTGTGTCGCAGTGACGTGGCCGTCTGGTGTCACAGTGGCCCGGCCGTCTGCTGTGTCACAGTGCAGTGGTCCGGTGTGTCACAGTGGCCGGGCCGCCTGGTGTCGCAGTGGTCTGGTCCGGCCGCCTGGCCCTGGTGTCACAGTGGTCCGGCCGTCTGGTGTCACAGTGGTCCGGCCGTCTGGTGTCACAATGGTCCGGCCGTCTGGTGTCGCAGTGGTCTGGTCCGCCTGGTGTCACAGTGGTCTGGCCGCCTGGTGAGTCACAGTGGTCTGGCCGCCTCACAGTGGTCCGGCCGCCTGTGAGGCCGCCGGGTCGGGGATCTGTACCGACTCGCAGCTCGTCTGAATAGAGTGAGACTCGGAAGCCACGTCGAGCGGTGCGCCAGCACCTGTGGAGGCGGCGCCTGTCATGTGACCTCATATGCGGCACCTGTCGTACACAGCTACTGTGTGACGTCACGTGCACCGGGTGTCGACTGTGACTGTGTGACAGCACGTTTCAGATGTTAGCAAAACATGGATCACAGGATAGCCCTCTACTCAATTATTTGTATGAAATTAACGGCTCTTATCACGTCGGTCCGAATGGTTATATTGTACCTGCCAGATTTTAGTTTATCAGCACCACGTTAGCGGCTACCTATCGCACGATCACTCATTACCTATAACTATGTGAACTGGGCTGTCAACGTATCAGGTAAGAGTCGCAGATTAGGAATGAAAAGAGCTCGTCAGGGGGAGCTATTTCACTCCTAATTTGCGACTCAAGAATAAGGTGAATTCCACCTTACTCTTTGCAGTCATTATTACGCATTGTTTTCGTTGTGAAGAGTGGTAGAGGCTTTTAATGGCCGTCCAATTTCAGCAACGGCGTCACCTCCGGCTGACATTCAGTCCTTATGCTTGTGACCGGCAGCGGTAACAGTCCCGGACGAAACGGGCCAATCTCAGTCCTTTCAAGTAGCCGCCCGCCGACCGTATTCATCCAATGGACTCGACCTTGTTTAGGATGCAAATTCGCCTTTGAAAATTCTCCCGTCGTCGAAACCAGAAAGGCCGTCGTGGCGAATTCGATCGAGGGCGGGCCGGCTGCGGAATAGGACGAGTGGTGAATTGGGGGCGGCGCGGTGACTTTATCCGGACAGCTGTCTGTCTGCTGTAGGAAGCTCTCAGCCAGTGTCTCTGGCAGTGCCCGTCACGGACTGTGTGACGTCCCTCTCGGGCAGTTCTGTAATCTGTGACGCCCCTCTCGAGCAGCTCTGTGACCCCTTCTCGGGCTGTGAGTTGTGACCTCCTCCCGGCCTCTGTGACGCCCCTGTCGGGCTGTGTGACACCCCTCGGATAGCTCTGTGACGTCCCTCTCGGGCAGCTGTGTGACGCCTCTCTCGGGCTCTGTGACACCCCTCTCAGCAGCTGTGTGACGCCCCTCTCGGGCAGTTCTGTAACGTCCCTCTCGGGCTGTGTGACGCCCCTCTCAGACTCTATGACAGCCCTCTCGGGCGGCTCTGTGACGCCCCTCTCAGCAACTCTGTGACGCCCCTCTCGGGCGGGCCCTCGGGCGCTCGGCGGCGCCGCCATCACCATCGATCGGCCGCTGGGCTCGGCGCTGCGCCTGCTGACGTTTCGGCCGCCAGTCGGGTGTCGGCCGGCGGCGCGGCGCGGTCAGTGCGACAGGTCACCGCGGAGCGCGCCGCGCCCACAGACACGGCCGGACCAGCCGGCGCCGGCGGCCAGAGGTGACCGGAGCTGACCAAAGGCGGGCAGAGGCGACCAGAGGTGGCCAGAGGTGACCGGAGCTGACCAAAGGCGGGCAGAGGTGCGACTCGGGCTGCCGTGTGTGGTGGTGGTGCTCCCCGCTACCGAACCCTGTGAACGAACCGGCGGCTGACCCGACCGTGACCTGGTGCAGCGACGGCGGCCACTCGACCGGGGTCAGGGCGGGGTCAGAGGCAGCTGACCTGAGACCGTGTCAGGCTCCAGGTCGCGGTTGACCTGAGACCGTGCTGTGCTCAGGGCACGTATGACCTGAGACCGTGCGGAGGCCAGAGACCGCTGGCCTGTGACCGTGCGGAGGTCAGGCACCTCTGACCTGAAGGTCAGGACGCAGCTGACCTGAGACCGCGCCGAGGTCAGGGCGCGGTCGGATGCGGCTGTGACTGATCCATGAGGTGAGAACCGGGCTCTGGTAGGTGGCGACCAGTCCTACCATTTAAGGATTTGCCGCATCTCGTGCTTGCTTAGTGCTTACCTATACGGTATATGATTGGGCTAGACGGTTTGTACCCCTGGGCATTGTTTTTTTCTATTGAAAAATCATGAAAAACATATTCATGAACACAAGTAACAATGTCACGGTCGACTTCGATTAACAGTACCTATCACGGGCTAACCACTTAGTTTTTAGAAAAATAGGTACTGTATCGGTATGCTCTAATGTTGAAACCATTTTGTGCTTTTATCACCCAACAGTAGCCGATACAATCTCCAGTTCCAATTTTTATCAATGTCCTCTCACCTGAAGTCTTTGCAATCAACGCTTTATATCAATTAGACATAAACCAACTGAACTATCCTTAAAGGAATGAATATTACAAAAAAATACAGCTCCTTTGGCATAAAAATAATGAAATAATAATTTTTAACTATCATTTTTCGATCATTCGATAGCTCGATTTTTATGAGAAATTGTCTCTAAAATATTGTCGTTAAGTCTAGAGATCATCATTGAACAAAGATTCATAGAAAAATTCGTCGTCACATAAAACGATCGAAGCATATAGGCAATTCTCTGTTGATTTGTCACGATTGTCAGCAAAGGCATCCTGAAACGCCCAAGTAGGACTTTTGGATGATCTCAAGAAGGATCTTTGAATGTCATTCGGCGTGGCCCATCTACCGACATCCGCCAGTGCACATCCATCGTATTGCCAATATTTATAGCGCCAGTGAGATTCGCGTGTTGTAAACGTAGAAACTCGTCGTGGTGCCTACGTGGCTAGTTAAATAGTAGGTATTTCCCAACTTGTTGTTATAAACGTCTATGACTGCAGCGCAGACAGGCCGCGCCTTTAAAATTCAAACATGATTATCGTCAAACTCAACCGTGTCGTCTGCTGTTTGTTCTTGGGACCGCAGTTATCGTCGTTAGCAGTCTAGTGTTGACAGTTCCATTATGCAGGTAAATCGAAATAGGTAGTTGACTGGGTGCTGTTTTCCCTATTGCAAACTTGGAGGTTCAGCTTCAGAGACATTGCTGCCAGTTCATCTGGTCACTCCCATCAGTCGAATGGGCGCAATGTCACGGCACCCTCCCGGCTGCTTTGAGTATCGTTTTGCCGGGCGTCCTCCCTTTCTGTGATTGCCCCCCGGCGGCTGGTGCTGACTGCCGATCCCGCCTGGCGAGTGGGACGGCCGCCCTGAACCGGGCCAAAGTCAGCACGCCGGAGCGCGGTCAGGGCCGCGCGGAAATACGCGCCTAGCGCGCCGCTCCGTGTCTCAGACGCGTCGGGCTTCATGACGTCATCAAAACGTCATCAATACGCACCGCGTTCGGGATGCAGAGCCGTCAACGGCTCCGTAGTTCGTATCTCTGACTCGGTGCGAATCGTGGAAAACAATGGCACTGTCTTCTACATATAGGCACTAGTTAATCATCATTACAGGCCAACGTGTCACCTCACCACAACACATCACTTATCCAAGTCCTCTCTGAACACCGAGCTCCGTTAGCACATCTCTGTATCCCAGTCTTTGAAATGAACGTTCCATAACAAAGAGATGACAACTGACAAAGCAGCACTGAGCACTCATTCAAACATGATGTCTATGCATGTAGAAGCTAGTCTCGATCAATGCATCCATGCTCGTATATTGCACCTCGATATTTAAGGGTCCAGCTCATCAAACCTGCAGCCCCATAAAGGCGAACGCCATTTGTCGGCAGCTGCCTTGGGCCCTGACAGCAGGGTGATCGGTTTGCATGTTTGGAGTCACTTTATTGCCCGCGGCGACTCTGTTATATAACCAGCTCATCTACACCTCGCACAGCCGGACGTAGCAGCGCCGTGACTCTGCACTCGTTCCTAGCTTTACATACATAAAGTTATGACATGAACGTGTGGTGGTATGCGTTCTGTCATATGGAGCCGCATGTCGACTGTCGATTAACACTACCACAATGTGTGAACATCGTGCTCCAATCGGCATGGGTACGGGCTCCAGAGTCGAGACTCCCAGTGCACGCCTGCCCCTTCCCCCTCACCCACGGGCCTATATTGATATTGGCACGGTGACCCTGGCTGGCCGGAGTGGTCGGATCGACACCTTCCTGCGCGGGTTTCCCAGTGGGCGGCTGAGCTGCGGCCTGTGCCTGTGGTGACAGTCCCCGATCGACTGTGGATCTCACAGTAACACTGTCCGATCGACTGTGGTGTGGAACTCACAGTAACAGTCCCCCATCGACCGTGGTTTCCACGATAACAGGCACTGGTTCACATGGGGTGCTCCAATAACCGAGATTGTCAACTCAGCTGCGAATTTATTTATTTCACATTACAGACATGTCCGTGGAAACACGGCTATTCTATGTCCAAGTCGTTGTGCATATACAAATCGAATGGGATATGACAACAGTCACCGCAATCATTCACACATTCACCCTCATCACGTGTGCTAACTAGGACAGCTAAGTGGCTCGCTCGCGGTCAAGCAAATGCTCCCTCAGTGCCGGCTTGAATCGAGCCTGACTGAGAGCGCGCAGGTCCGCCGGCAGCTCGTTGTACCCTGACACCGCAGAGTACAGAAAACGGCGACGTCCGGACTCTGACCTGACAGTGGGGGTCACAAGCATGTCATTGTACCTGGTATCCCGCCCGTGTATAGTCTCTCTTGAAAGTATCGCGTCATGGGCTGCGGCGGCTCGGCGAACTATTCCATCCAGTTTGAGGACCCCAGCAGTGAGGTCATGGCCTGTATCATAAAAAGTACGCAGTACCACGATTCTACGCCAGCGGTAGGAGGAAAACTGCTATATGACGCAGGCACCAGAGGCTGACAACTGGGTCAAAACAGGTGGAGGCCGGCCAAAGGTCATGCTCGTATCGCTCTTCCTTGACCCCGTCCCCCGCCCCAGGCAGATACCGGCGCCGCTTGGGTTCACCAGCCGGGCGTTTATTGGTCTGCCAGTGGGCGCCGATCACTCAGTGTGCGAGACGCGTAAAATCACAACGAAGCAAAGTTCCGCCATAACCCTAGTGTGAAGAGGCCTTCTGAATGACGTAAACAGGTCATGGGAGGGAAAAGGGGCAGCCTGGCAGCATATAGGGCTTTTAAAAAAGAAGACGGCTAAAATGTGAATATTCTTCTTTTTGCGCCGTTCAGTAAGCGGCTCATTAAAAAGAGATAACTTCAAATATATGACTGATTGGCTAGAGATAATTTTTGTGATTTGAATCCGCTCGCGGGTGCATCTGCAACACGGATGCATGCATTCTTTTAGCGGATGCAACTGATGATTTTTTTTTTTTTGTATTCGGGCACGGATTTCCGGATTTTACCAAAAAACCTGTGACAGCATGGTGTCGATGGTGTGACAGTGGTGCCGGTCAAATTGTTAACTTTGCAATGAAACAAATCTCAACAAATCCTCTGCGAGTAGGGTGGCTTCCAGTGACCACATGCTAACTGAATTCACAAGTTACCGGACGGCTACTGCCACCTCCCTCCCCCCTCCATCCCTCCGCAGTCCGCAACCACTCCCCTCGCCCCCGTGTCAGGCTTCGGTCAGTGCTAACGGCGGCTCTCAAACTTTTCCGCTCAACCGCGGCTGGGGCAGGTGGCGCCTTCCCCCAGAGTCGCGATACTTTCAAGAGAGACTATACACTCTGCCGGGTGACTAGACAGGTGGCGAACTGCTGCGGCTTTGACGTGGCCAGCATTTTGTTCACCAGCACGATGGATTGGTACCTGAACAAGCTCTCGGTGTTAAGCCAGCCGAGTTCGTTGATAACATCGCTCACCCGATCCTTCCTACGGCCTGAGACGACTCGTGCAGCAAACCTAACCAGCTTTTGAAGTCGTTTGCGCTGGGTTACATTGCTGGCACCGTAAACGGACAGACAGTACCTAATAATCGACAAGACGAGCCCCTGCACCAACGTTACCATGACTGTCGCTGGGAGACTGTGTCTACTGTGACTCAGGCCACACAAGGTACCGGTGCACCGCCGCACCACGTCACTGGTATGCGTCACAAACGACATGTCACTGTCAAACCATACTCCCAGGTTCTTGACAGTGTCAGAGCTGGTGATGGTGGAGCCGCAGAAGTTGATGGTAATGGGAGGCAGACGACGAGTCATCTCCGGCGTGCCGAGGACGATCAGCTGAGTTTTGGCAGCGTTTAACTTGAGGCCGTTCTTGCCATACCAGTTCGACAGAACTGATAGACTGCCTTCCAGTGACCGTTTCAGCTGAACGATGTCTCTCGGCTGTCCGGAAACGTACAGTTGGACGTCGTCCGCGTAGGCGATGATGCCGGTGGAGTTGTCGGTGTAGAGCGGCAGGTCATTAGCATACACATTGTGCAACAATGGCCCGAGCGATGAACCCTGGTAGGTGCCGATAGGGTTTAGTAGCGGCTGTGAGAGCGTGTGAGCACGAGACGGTCCGGTAGAGTGAAGCTGCACACGCTGATAATGATTGGCAAGGTAACTCCGGAACCAGCGGGTATCTACACCGTAGAGCTCGAGCTTACGCAGAAGCGAGCTGTGTGGGATGCAGTCGAAGCAGCGCGAGCAGTCCAACAGACAGAGAACGGTGACTTCACGCTGGTCCATGCTCCGGAAAACATGATCGGTCAGGGTGAGTAGAGCAGTGTCCGTGGAGTGGTTGGTTCTGAAGCCGTGCTGGTTTGGAGAAAACAGGTGATGAGAAGAGAAATAGGAATAAAGCTGTTCAGAGACGACGCGCTCGGTGATTTTACCAATAGTGGTGAGAATGGAGATAGGCCGGTAGCTGCTAAAGTCGTCGGATTTTGATGCCTTGGGAATAGGATGGACCAGCGTAAGTTTCCACGAGTCAGGTACAGTATGTGAAGCCAGGCTAGTGTTCACAATGTGAGTCAAGACATGGTACAGTGAGAAAAGGCACATTTTAATAAAACGAATGC